CATTGTTAAAAAAAAAAAAAAAATAACTGACGAGTCAGCAAGATTTGCAGGTTATTGAACTCAATCATTACAGAGACTCTGTCGGGTAATCATGACGAGATTTATAGGCGACATTAACGACGACACGATGCATTATTGAGCATTGGAGAATTAGTGTAACTGGCGAATAATAAAATGAAACATTTGATATGTACTTATTAATAGTTAATGCCTTAAGAAAAAAAGGTCAACATGAAATAGGAAGTTGTTTTAGTACAATAATAAACGCAAACACTTTCTATATGCAGCCTATCTCAAATGGTCTTGGTACAGAGACGTTTTTAAATGGAACGTGACGGCGTTAAGCAAAGCGAAAAAACATTCGCTTCTTTTACGCACTCAACAGTTAAGTTACTAACGCCGTCGACAGTGCGGAAGAGATCGACCCCTACCCCAGGGAAAGCGTGTCGGTATTAATTTTCCGCGCTCCGACTTTATACTCAAACATTTGACGATTCTCTGGTGCTTTGTCTGACCTGCTCGGACTTTTCTACTTGCTCTGGACAAATATCAGGCTGACAAGAGATAAGAATTCATTTTGCCAGAATATTTCATGACTAACTGCTTTTGTTAACTGATACGAGTAATCTTGATGTTAAATACACCCTTTCGTTACTTTTTGTATAAATAAATTTTAAACTCGTTCGTTTAATACTCTTTGCACAAGTTTAGGAGTTTCAACATTTCTCCCTGATAAATTTTACAATGTTTTTGTAGGAGAACATTATTTAAATAGTTTGTTCAACTTAATGAAAATATGTTGAAATATTTTTAAACATTCAGTTTTTATAAAAATAACGATTAATTGACTGTGGTAAAATATTCTTAAATAATTTATTTTAATACTTTAGAAAGAAATAAATGCATAAAGAAAAAAAATTAACTGTAAACAAATAGTATTTTTTTCAATTAATAAAATTATTTAGGTCTGATGATTACTTGCAATAATAAAAATGTAATTTATTGAAAAAATACTTTTTTTTGTGCTCAACTATTTTAAATAGAATTATCTAAATATTGGTTTATTCTGATGTTTTATTGAATTGATCCGATTTGGTTCATATTAACTTATTGATATTTATGTTTTTCATGAAAATAGTATTTTATGAACAATTGTTATTCTTCTCGTTATTTATACTTGGCGCAAAGTTTTATCAAATCCAAAAGGCTTTTTTGGTTAGAATCAAATGTTTTATTGAGTTGATTATTTTTTTTTCACGATTCCTAGTGTCTCAAGAAGTGAGAATTACTCTTATGTCACTTGCATTTAGGCTCATCATAATCTTGAACCAAATACCAAAATTTTATTCGTTCAATTAACTTAAATATTTTAATTTTTTTTAATCGATTAATTGAAAATTTTTGAGTGCACAAAAATAAAATATTTATAGATCAATTTTCCGCAAACATTCTCAGCATCATTTCTAATTGAATTATTTATCTTTCATCAAATAAATCTCTCATAATTATTAACGACTAGTCATCTGGCCTTTCTCTAAAATTAATAGGACGAAATAATAATAATAATACCGAAACGTGTTCAATCCTAAAAACAACCAAAGACATAACAAGCTAGTTAAATAAAAAAAAAGCAGTAAATGAAATATAAATTGAAACGGACACGTGGCATGAGTCCAATCATCCAGCAAAAGTACTTTTCTCATATTTGCTTGATCGTAGTTGAATGTAGAGGTGTAAGCAGGAGGTTGCATAGAGAGTGCAAGTGCGCTGACTATCTAACTACTACCACCAGAAAGGAGATGTTAGACCAAAGCTACTAGTAGAGTAGGTATAGAAGCCCCACAAGAAGGGTTCTCTTCCACTTCCACTAACGGTTGCGTTTCCACCGCCTCCTGCTCAGTCTGTCCTCCGTCGTCTCGATCCCCCTTGCGCCGTATGCGCGCTGTTTGCCCGTGGCCGCTGTCCCAGTCGTCGCCCTACTTTGTCCAAGCCAACTCCGCTCGGCCCGCAATACACGATTGAGGAGTAACTCGCCGGTTTTAACCCCCCGCGAGTCGATGCAGTGTCCACGGATGAGTGCCGAGTTACTCCCAAACACAAACGCGGCCACGTGCTTTTACCAATAGCACGCCCACTATTATCAATTTATCATTCATTACAATTATTATTTCACTCATCACCTCTCTCTCCTCCTCTCTGTTTCACTCTTCTCCTTATCAAATTTAATGTCTCCAAAGAAGATCAGCTAAAAGTTTGTGCTAAAAAGTTGATTAAAATAAATTCTTCTAAAATAATTCAACAAAAAGAAAGTCAATAGAAAAAATAATTGAGTGCCATTCGACGAACATTTGGATTAAAAAAGTTGCTTAATTTTAATTCGAAATTTATCAACAAATGTGTTCATGATTATTATAATAATAAATAGTTATTTGTTAAAAGTTTGTTATATTTTATAAACAATATAAAATGTTGAAGATAAAAAATGCACTACTGAGTCATGAAAATAGTCTTAGGATTTTAAAAACAATGCTAGTGTGTGTTGAGTAAACGTCCTGGTGCGCAAGGACACGAATGCTTCGATAAGTCAATGTGAAGTAGATATCACAATAGTAGTACCAGGATGAAGAAATAATAAGGCTGCTTAGTTTGAAACTTACCACTGCCACATTGCTCATTAAGTCGTAGAGATTTTATTAACTTCAATTATGTGCATGTAATCATTCGAAATACTAATAAATGTTATGATTTAAACAAAAAAAATAATAATAAAAGATACATTGATAGAGTTAAAAAGAAAAAATAGGAGAAAATCTACGTGGGAAGTTGATGATTAATTATCAGAAAAAATATTGTGATCATTTTATCCTTGATTATATAGACTACTTTTAATTATTAATGTATTTATGTATTTACAAACGTAACAAGATATTGTTTACCAGTGTAATAATTTCAATTATTATATATTGCATTTATTTAAATAATCTTCAAAGAAGAATATCATAATTCACATTTTCGATGGCTTAAGCAGAAAAAATGTAAGTTTTTCACATTTTACTTAACACAAAACTATTATTTATCAATAAATAAATTAAGTAATTATTAACATCTAATTAAAATCAATCAGTCTAAATTGAATCAATAAAGATAAATTTTTTTTTAAATACTATGATGACATGAAAATAAATTAAACTAAAATTCAATTCAAGGATCAAAAATATTTCAGTGAATTCAAACGGTCGAATTCAAGTTCAAATATTACTTCATCAAAATATTATGATTCAAAAGGAAGATACAAACATTAATTGAATCCGAGTACTTTTATCAGAGTATTTCATCAATAAGCGTGTCGATTTCGCCACCTGAAGCATGTGATGAATGTACAAATTTTAAAAGGTCTAGGTCGTTGCATTTCAATTTCACGCAACTTCCGGTTCTTCAATGTTAAAACAAATCCTCTGGTTGAGCTCCTGGCATGTATATTACACGATGTTAATAGCCCCTGGAGATTTGAATGACCCTCTTTTTATTTGCCAAGTCATAAAAATACATACATTTCTCTTGAAATAAATAAATCAAGCCCTCGGAATTTGTGACGAATCTTGGATGACATTATAAAAGAGGGGGAGAAAGAAATTAGGCGTGATTAAAGAGTACGTAAATAATTGTGTCGTAAGAAATGAAGACGGATGACGTACCTGAGGTAGTATTCGCGTGCATCGGAGGCTACTTGAGTTTATTTGTCGACTCTGGGTTATATTGCGCAGACTCTGAGTAGCAGCACATCGTTCGTTGGTGGTTGGGATAGGTCAGGAGCATTACCTACGCACGAGTTTGCCAAAGTCGTCACCAGAGTTCACTTTACAGATATTCAATCCACAAGAACACATGCAATCATCATCATATATTAGACAGTCCACTTGTGTTGACCAACCACAAGAACCAACTCTCTAACGTAAATAATCATTTGGCAATCACACATATTACATATTTAACATCACTTGGGTATTTTTCGATGATCTGTCCTCGCACATAAGTAACAGAGTAAGCCATTGGCATTGGATAAAAAACTAAGAATTTCCTCGAGGTTCTTCCTTGATTGTTTCCATTTGCGTCTGATGGCGTTCGGTGATCTCATGCGTCCCTGACAGCTATTGGCTTTCGTATCAGCTTCAATATCATTCTTTTAAGCAGCTCTAAAACTCCAATGTGTATTGGAGAATGTCAAAGAACACGACAGACACATATTGGAGATGACTTTGTTCTTTCAATTTATTTCATTTAAATTAAACTTCATCTCCCTATGAACTTTGTTCAATTTTTCAATAGATCTTTCAAACCCTCGAGGCCAATATGTCGCAACATCTTTTATATTTTATATTTTAAGGGACCTCATGTTATCGCTTTTTTATAGTAAAGTTTATTTTCGGAATCGACGATGAGTTTTGTAGTAAACATGGTCAGGGAAAAACGTATTTTATTTTTTACGTATTTAATTTTTTTTTTCTTTGAATAAAAATAGATCTTCGAGAATTTTATTACAGACATTAGAACGAAATAGAGAAGAAGCGTAATTATATTTATATAGAACAATTTGATGATTTATATAAAATAATGCACTTTTTTACATTAAAATAAAACTTGATAAAAAAATTAGTCCAGTTATTAACATTAATTTAATGGAGCTGCTGATGAGTCATAATTGGTCTAGAGTAAATTTTTTACATTATTTTATAATTAATTATCATATCTGCAAAGCATTCACATGCTAATAAACTTAAATGAAAAATGATCAGTCTAATTTATTAATTATTAATAATTAAACAATTATTATAATATTTTTATAAAACTAAAAAACTACTTACCATAAGATTTATTTGATCTTAACATTGATAGTAATTTGTTTAACGCACAGATTAATTTATGTATCCCTTGAAATCAATTAATAATGAAATATTGCAATAAATTGTCGTATTAAAAGTGCTTGATTTCAATATAAAACATGAAAAAAAAAAGATTCTTAACCGATTACAATCATTTACTATTTTTTATGTACCCACACACTTTATTGATCTCCTGATTTATAGACTTTGCAAGTCGTTGGAATGGAATAAGATTTTATTGAAATAAATATCGACAAAGTGGCCCCCCTGGACAAACGTTTAATCATCAAATTCATGTAATAATGATGAAAAAAAAAATATGTCGTTAATGAGTCATCGTCCCTTGACATTTAAAAGGTCCCTTGACATTTAAAGTGTGTTCTTTGGTGTCGGATAAAAAATAAAAAAGAAAGTATTGCTTTAATTTAGGTCTCCGGAAGCGCTTTCTCTGGTAGACTAGCTGACAAAGTGTAGTATTGGGTGCGCGAGAGGGTCATAGGGTCGAGGACTCTAGTAGAAGTGCGAGAGAGGCAAGATGGGAGGGTCGACTATTGCACGGTCAATGTAGCCACGGGCTTTATATGTTACCTGCAATTGATATGTATGCGTGACTGTTGGATATATGAACACCAACAGTCCACCACTAGTTTAGCCACAGTGTGATTGACATTACTAAGTATGCCATGGCCGACCGCTCACAACGTGCAGCTACGGAATAAATGCAGTACGCGGCCGGCTGCTGCGGCCCACGATTGCCTAGTCTCACTCTAGCTACTATTCCACGTATATTACTGATCTCGACAGTCGTGTTATACACTACAGACCGAACATTTACTGCTCATTGCCTTTAACAACTCTCGACATCCACTCCAAGTCAAAAAACAAATTTATTCATTTATTTATCAAAAACTTTTACTCTCGTTCGAAAAAAAATAAAAAGCTGTAAATGTCGCAGCTCACTTTCCTTTCTCATTCGAAAGTGAAATAGACCTGAAATAAAGTCAATGTATTAACGAATAATCAGTTGGGATTTATTTTGAACAGTTGTCTAGAATTATTTTCTCGGTTCAATCAGAGAGTATGTCAGTGGTGATGATGACGATGATGTTGATGATAATGACACGGTTTGTATTGTCAATGAGTGTAATGTAGATATTTTTTAAGGGCAATAGAGCGGAAATGATGAATTTTTAGATAACAAAAAAAAGAATAGTTTAAATAAGAAAGTAAGACACAAGGAGTAAGAAAGGAGAAGAGTGAAAGTTTTTGGGCGGCGTTGAGTTTTTGGCATTGGGCACCTCTTTGAGATTGGGGGGACAACGGTATCGAGGTCACTGTTACCACCACTACTTACTCATACACCTCGGGTAGTCATTTAGACTTTAGTGAAGCTCAGAGATCGCGTGGCCTGCAAGTAGTGTCCCAAAAACATTCAGGCCCGCTCTCTTGATATCGTGACTTTCGCAAATAATCCAACACAGTTTATATGTTTAATTTTCAAGCCTTTTTTGGGTAATGGAGAACTTTAGTAGTGATCAGTGCCAACTATTTGTTCATTTGTTACCTAGGACACATATTATAAATAATACGATAATAAATTTATCTGTGGTTTGTATAATGTTCAATTAAATTTTTTTTTCCTTTTTTTTTCTTGACTCTAAGAAAGTATATTTGTGTCAGTGAATTTTTCGAAGATGCTTTCGTCTCTCGCACCACTACCACATCGTGTCCTCGAGTCGATGGAGTTGGCTCGAGAATTTATTCGACCTCCAACTATCTAAATTGCAATTGACGTTGTTTCGTGGATATTGGAAAAAAATTGAGTACAACAATTAAAATAATCGTAAAAAAGAAAAAAAAAGTCAAGAAATAATTATTTATTTGTATTACAATAATAATGATGGTTATTGTTATTGTTGTTGGTTAATGGATATAACGGTGTGAAATGTGATGGACTTGAGGATGTATTTATAGCAGGAAACAAATTTATTTTACGATTGTGAGATAAAAAATGTGCGCTAAAATGAGTGTCCTTCAAGGCCGACATTTGGGTATGATATCATTTTTATAGTAAAATCATTTAAAACTAATTACGTATCAAGTATCATTACTAAAACAGCCTTCAAAACATTTCTCAGTTTATTGTAAGTCATCAGTTACATCCACTGCAAACACATATTTTTAAAATCTTCAAAGTCATTATTTTAGTTAATTTAGTTGATAAAAAATTTTTTTTATACTTTAAGGAACACACTTTTGGGTTTATTTTAGAAAATGAAAAAAGAAAAAAGGGAAGATTCTAAAAATATTGAAGTTTTTTTTTTAGTTTAAAGATACTAAAAATTTTTTAAATTTAGAAAAAAGGTCTTTAACCTATTACTCAATTGTACATCTGATTACTATCACAACCATCATATAACTATCAGCCTATCGAAGTCGTTACGTAAACTGCAGAAATTTCATTTAAACTCTGTTTGCCGATCTTATAATTATTTTTATTTTATTTACTTGATATTCACGCAACATAAAGTAAGAAAACTTTTCCCATGCGATATATCTTTAAATGAAAAATCAATACCTCATTTGACAATTAGAAATAAATACTCGACTTTACAATAAATTCACTACTTTTATCTTCTGATAAAACTTTGTGATAAAAACTTGATAAGAAAATAGCATTGAGTAGTTGAAAAAAATATTTATCAAATCATTTCTTCTAATAGAATGCTAATATGAGAGTTTATTATATCAATGAAGTAAGAAAAAGGGTAATAAATAATTTCTAATTGGTTTATTGTTACATAGGTTTTAACAAAAAAAAACAAATACCAGCAGACATGATAACACGCGAATGACTTCCTTATTCCCTAAGACTTATGACACAACATAGCGATACTTGATGTAGGAAAAGTAAGGTAAGGCCAGTGGTATAATAGAAACTTTCACTAGAAGGTTCAATGTACCGAGGCCTAACTCTCACTAACCGATTCTCACTCTTAAATGAAAGAGAGGACTTGCGATTAAATACACCAACGAAGAAGATTCTCCCAACGTGAATGTCTAAATCTCTCGAGAATACGATGTCTGATCGATAACAGGCTCGACTACTTTTCCGTGAGATTGAGAATTACGAGAAATGAATATAGAGCAGGATTTGCCTAATGGTTTCATCATCAGTCAACTATGATAGATGGTGAGACTGATTTTATTAAATACGGAAGTTTATTTATTCTTTCTCCGTTCAAACATAGCTATAGATATTTATATACTTGGTGGAGTTTGAAAAACTACAATAATATGAAGAGTTAAAAATATAGAATCTCAGTTATGTTATAGTCAAGCGTGGGAGAACGACTTTCACCATTGGCCGTGTGAATTCTAGATAAAGATTCTCCCAAGGATTGTTTCAGATAAAAGTGAATTAGAAGAAAAATAAAAACATGTATTTACGTATCGGTGCATTCATTTTTTTCCCCTATATTTTTGCTTTCAATGAAAATGTAATTGCTGTGACCTTAAAACCCGATTTTTAAATTCTAAAGAATATTCTTTACTATAAAATACATTTTTTTACTTGTAAGAGTATTAATCATATACTTGAATGTAATTTTATTATTATTGTTAGTAATAATGTGGTGCTCTGTCTAATTCATGATCACTGATAATAATTTTTTTAATGGCTTTTTTAAATTAAAAAAAAAAAAAAGGTTTATAAAAAGTAGGTGTTGTTTTTCAATTGATAATTGTGAGAAAAACAAAATTATATTGTTGTAATATCAATAAGAAAATTGTTTTTTTTTTCTGTTTGTTGACGTTGAGTAGAGGCTGAAGGTGTTGGAGAGATGTTCCTTTCACTTTTATAGATAAAAAAAATCCTTAATGGAATAATTGTAAAAGAGTATAATTCTTAACCTATTTTCTGCCTTCTATAAATTTCTAAATAACTATTATAAAAATGTAAAAAGAAAATAGAAAAATCTGTTATCATATCGAATTAAAAAACCTGTATTCTTGAGTGACACAAAAAGCTGTCTTTCAGAAAAAAAAAAAAATATTTACCCAGAAATAAACTCATAATAAAAAATATGTTATCCATCTCAAAGAATTTTTAGTAACATATTTTCTCCGTTTCGAAATTCTCTGTCTGCATAATTCAAAGAAAATTAATGCTTTATTTGCAAAAAATGTAATCATCTTAATTACAAATTATTTACATTCCATTACTTTATATTCCTTAAAATAAACATTATTTATTACAAACAATTTATCCAAAATCATTAATAAAAAATTGACTCTTTAAATTGATCTCTAAAAAAAAAGGAAATATTTACTTTTGATTCAAAGTGTAAAACTAGAAAAACATGAAGCATAAAGTTAAAAGAACATTGAGAGTAGTTGCAAAGTAAAAGGGAAGGTTTTCACCTTTTCTCGTCATCGTGAAGATCTAGAATGAAAGAGAAGAAAAAAAGTACGTTGGTTAATTCATCAACGACGAACGACGGCAGTGTACAACGACAGCTACACAACGAGAGCGACACGGCAGTGGAAACGCGCGAGCGTGGCATGCATGCATGCATTGGTTACGCAAGAATGGCAGCGTGTGTGAGACTGGTGACCCACATACGATACAGGGAGCAAGGACCCCACTGCACCACGTACGTCCCCGCCAACCGAGTACATATAAGCCCGCGTCAACTACCAACATAACCAAGAATAAACGTCGGTATGCCGATCATTACCGATACCTCCCGGCCCACGTGACCCGAAAATACCCGAAGCCCTTTGAGTGACGCTCACACTTATATGTACATTACGGGCATTGCTCTGTTTCTCTCTTCCTCTTTAATTAACGATGCTATGAATTGCGATCATACAAATCGATTTGTTGCAGTCATTAAAATTACATCAGAGTTTGTGAGATAATTTTTTTTATTATTTTTTTTTTTCAACTATTTATCCAACACTTTTTGCAGGTAAAAAATATGCAAGTTTTAAATTATTGCGCAGTTTTATTCTTGCTAGATTGCTATTATATGCTAGAGAATCGATCATATACGATTCGTGTTGATTTTCCTAGAAGAGTATATATACATTCAAGTAATGTTCCAATTATATGTTATTGCAATCTAAATCGGGGTTAAATAACCTACTTCATGCCATAAGCTAGGACAAATACTGAACTTTACAAGTTCTATGTTTATAGAAAAAATTATACACATTATGATCAAATGTTTAACTTGTATAAGAATTTATGAATATTCGTGACAATTAATTTCAATGATTAAATTTACAAAAAACAACCTACCTAATCACACTTTTTTTCATGTTTCAATAACACCTGGTGTTTTAAATAATTTTTTATGCATTTTATTGCACACAAATCATCAATATTATTCAAAAGATACTTTGGTATTCATCAAATCAATGAATATTGATGCAAATCATCTACAAGTATCCTAAAAAAATTTATCCAAGTGAAAAATATTATTAAAAATTATGATAATTTATGAGAAATAGTGCAATATTTAATGAAATATTTTTTGATGATTTCAGGAATTATGACCCTTACGAGCAGCCCGTGTGAGCTAGACAACATGAGCTTGTTTCAAGACCTCAAGTTGAAAAGGAGAAAGGTCGACTCTCGATGTAGTAGTGACGGTAAGAATGATATCTTAAGCATAATATAGAAAAGGAAGATTCTAAGAATAAGAATTAGATGATTTGTCAATTTATAAAAGACATTAAAAAACCTAAATAGAATTATTCTCTTGCCACTTATTTTACTCCAAAAAAAAAAAACATTTTATCAATGATAAAAAAAATAATTTAAATCAATTAGAAGCAAACAACAGATTTAAATGCAAGTTTGACAATATCTTTGATCTCTCTATAGCACAAGCTCACTACTTACGGATTAATAGGAAGAAAATTGAAGTCAGTTTAAGTCTCATAATGTCTTCAGGGATGGTTTTAGATTGCTAATGCACGGCAAAATCTAAGGATGACAGGGAGGGAGATAGCTAAATAGCGTGGGCTGACTATAGAGGGGAATCAACTACTGCCCACGCGGTATGAACCCGGCTATGCACCACACTCTGTTATCCAGGGTAGTTTCATAGCAACGTCAAACGTGTCAGGACGTTATTCTAAACTTTTGCTACTCACTAAATTGTGTACATTCATTCAATAACCACTATTTGATATTTTTATATCTTTTTTCTATCTTCTTCTGATGATTTATTGATAAACTCCAGTTTTACAAGTTTGAATCAGTGAATAAAACTCAATGAAATATGCCAACATGGCGATGATGGTGCAACGACACTTGGAAATCATTGATCTCTGTATATACCACGTGAACTCTGCTTGCATTACTGAACGGCGCAGTTGCAATTTTTTCTATCATTTTTATTAATTAATCTAAAATATCCTATTTTATACTGTCAACAATTCATTTCAATTCCTACAATATTTCTTTTTTCATCACTCAATCGATATGATGTTATGTCATGTTCTAATCCTGTACTGCTAAAGCAATTTCTGTCTTCTTCATTCATTCATTGAAAATATGAATTTCCATACCATGAATAATTTTATTAATCATCCACAAGAATTTTGCCCTCCATATCATCATCATTATCAATTTCCTTTCTTTGAATATTTTCGCTATGATTATTCTCATGTGTATCCATCGTATCCTTACTTTGCACCAAATGCATTAAATTCATTCATGCTCTGGGAATCAAAATGCCGATGGTTAAGTTTCAAATCTTTTCACTCCAATGGTAATTTTAATTTAGTATTTCATTTCAATTAGTTGTGGGTGAGAGAATATTTCAAATTGAATGAACAAAAAATGTTTCAATATGTGGAAAAAAAAAATGATTATGGTTAACTGATTTTTATAGCGAATATTGAAACGTTGGATTTGTTTTGTAAATAAGTGTTTGGCTTAAATTAAATTCAATACTAGTTTACATGTAAATAAAAGAGTATTTGATGTATGGAGCAGTGATTCATAAACTGTTATTGAAGTAAAGTTGGCGCCAAACGAACTCATTCGAATATAATAATTTATTATTAACTGTTTATGATGTAAATTTAGTCAGATAAAAAAAAATATTGCTAAAATTAACAACCAATAAATAAGATTTATTATTAAAAAAGATGACCTGAATATTAATGTTATAAAAGTGAAAAGAAAAGTTGAAGTGTTTTTTAAAAATTGATTACCATGTTATTATATGAATATTTAAAAAAAAAAAATAATTATGATTACATTATTTTCCTAAAGCGTCCTTCAACTTTATTTTCATTTTTACGAACTGTAATTTTCAGAGATATTGAAATAATAATTTTCTCTTGAAAATAATCAAATAAAAAGCTCAATAAAATTGAATAAAGCTGATTGTAGCGATATTGAGGTGAGAAAAAAAATTGAGAAAGAATTTCTTTTCTCAGACTCGCCTGTATCGTTTGGATCAGCAGGATCACCGCTCGGGCTACAGCCAGCGGATGCACCTTCACCAATAACCTTTCCTGCTCCAGGGGAAAGCGTTGCGGATACATCGACCTCGTCACCAGACGTCAACATGCCCAGCTCGCCGGGCTGTCCGGTGGTCAAAGTAAAGAGCGAGTTTCTTCGTGGATCTCCAAGTCCTCGGAGCCCCAGCCAACGTGGTCCAAGTGGTGGAACAGGATCTACCTATCATCATCAAGATGTCCGTGAGACAGCATCACCAGATTCGGTTTTCCCCGAGCCCGTGATGAGTTCCACAAGGGTCAGCGATGAAAGACGATCCTTTACACCAACCCCAGCATCACCGTGTGTTGATACCAGCCATGCGGTGTCTACAACCCCTCTAAGCCAACAAGAGCAACCGAGTAGCAGGTGCGAGACGCCAGAACGAGCCGAATTATCGTCTGGTCAAACGAAACTTGACTCGGATAGCTCAGTCTTTGATGGAGGTGGAGGCGGCAATAGTGGAGGAGGTGATAGAAGAGTTGATGTGTCCAGCCAACCTAGTCCTTCCTCCCAGTATAACATCAGCCAAGCACCCAGTCCCAGTAGTAATTCATCCCACAGTTCTCAGCAGCAACCTCCAACTCCTCCCAGATCGAGAGCACCATCGGTACCAGCTCACATTCTAGCCCACCATCAATTCTGGTCGCAAAATTCTGGAGTTCAGGGGTTTTCTGCACAAAGATTACTCAATGGAGTCATCAGCAGCGTTGGCTACGGACAAAATGTGGGAAACCCTAGCAGTACAAGTATTGCTGGTAATGGTCCAGGACCTACTGGAAACATGGGTAGCCAAGGTAATGGATCCAACAACACCACATCATCACCTGCATGTAAGTATACTTTATTATTTTATTTTGTTTTTTCATCAGATGAAAAATAAATTATTCAATAGGATTTCGACCTAGATTTTCAATGAAAAAACACTTGAGAATTTTTTTACCAACTATAAAAGTTCATCTTTGCATTTTAAAACTTTAATTAAAACTTCATGAAATAACTTGTGGTTCATTTATTTCTTTCTCTACATCAAGTCATAAAATACTTGATGAAATAAAATCCGTAAAATCTTCTCGATTATTCTCATCAACGCTTTTGAGAATACCTCTTCACCCTTGAGTATGTCCAATGATTGATTCGAGTATCCATAAAATAAATCAACCATATTGAACGTTTTATTGGCCTTTTTACGACCTATTCGAAATTATTATTTATTCCAAATTGTTGATAAATGATAGCTTACTATTTATTTTTGAAAAAATAAAAAAGAGAGATTTTATAATTGTGCAAATGCAAATGAGAATAAATAGCTAGTAATTAAATTATCAATACATAGCTTCTATATTTCTTTTATGTGTGAAAGGATTAACAGCGATTATTGCTGGAACATTACATTCATATTTATGAATGTCCCATTGAAAAAAACCTCAACTGGATATTTTTATTGACACCAAGGATCATGTTTAATTAAACTTCATCTATTCGAGTGTTGAAATAATTTTTTTTCCAACCACAAAAAACCGTAAACTAGTAAAATGTTTATTATTTATGCATATTAATCAAAAATTGTTTTTACAGCTGATATGAAGCCACCAGCACAACGAGTAACTCCTTCAGCCCCTCGACCTCCACCTACAGTGATAATGGGTGAGGTTGGTGGTGTCAGGACTATGATTTGGTCCGCACCAGCTATGGAACCAGTTCCTCCGCCAGCGGCATCATGGACGACAACAGCGTCATCAGCATCCTGTTCTTCATCAGAAGAATCTGCAGCTCAGTTATTGCTAAACCTTGGCCAAGAATCCAGGGGGAAACCGCCCTGTGTTTCTTACTCCTCCGGACCACCGCTGAATATGGAAAGACTGTGGGCCGGTGATTTGAGTCAACTTCCTGCAGCTCAACAGATGCAGGCTCTTAACTTAACGGCATCCGGCTCGAATCAACCGTGGGTGAGAAATGGCGCGGCAGTTAAAACAGAACCGGCGACGCAGTCAATGCAATCGCTTGCAACATCGGCTGCTTCGTCATTACCGTCCCAAGAACATGAAGAAGATGAAACACCTATGATTTGTATGATTTGCGAGGACAAGGCCACTGGGTTACATTACGGCATCATCACGTGCGAGGGGTTAATATTATTCTACTTATTTTTATCAGACTTAAAGTCTATATTTGTTCGTTAGATTATTTGCCGGATTAACCTAATTTCTATTTTAATGCACTGCCATTAACAGATGTAAAGGATTCTTCAAAAGAACTGTACAAAACAGGAGGGTCTACACGTGTGTTGCTGAAGGTGGTTGTGAAATTACCAAAACACAGAGAAATAGATGTCAATATTGTCGATTTAAAAAATGCATAGAACAGGGTATGGTGCTTCAGGCTGTTCGAGAAGATAGGATGCCTGGCGGAAGGAATTCCGGGGCTGTTTATAATCTCTACAAGGTCAGCATTCAACAAGTCTTGTTTAATGAATTCAATGAATGTCAGAATCATGTTTAATATAAAAATAATTTTTTTCCATAAAAAACAAATTAATTCAAATGAAAGATAATTTAAAATATTATCAATTGATAAATAACTACTGATAATGTGTGTTAATATTTCATTAAAAAAGAAATTTAATTAATTATTTTTGGAATTGTACATTTAAAAAATTCAAATTGAATATCGTCATGGAAAATTAAGTAATCGTTTTTTCTAAATTTAACTATTTTATATTTGAATAGAAAGTTAAAATTTAAATAGTATTTAAATGAAGTTTCTTAATTAATATTTAACCTTATAAGCTAAGACTTTGAATAGACGTTAATATATAAAAATATATTCCATATATTATTCCCAAAGATTTATTTAAAATATGTCATGATTGATAAATTGATAACTTTCTACAGGTGAAGTACAAGAAGCACAAAAAGACGAATAAATCGAGTAACGTAAGTGGAGGTAATAATCCAGCCGGAGGAGTGAACGGTTCGGGATCGATAGTCGGAAATAAAAGTACAAATGTTCCTACAACAATGTTAGACAAACATATGGCAGCTGCGTCGAACATGCTTGACAAGCATATGGCAGCTGCGGCAGCGGCTGTCGCTGCTGCTCATCACAGTCAAGCGCAGCAACAGCAGCAGCAACAACACGCTCAGCTCGCCAGTTCTTTCTTGCATCACCACAAGATCTCATCGGCTGATCCACATAACTCTCAACCGACACCAAGTCATCCCAGTCATACCTCGCATACAGGACATTTAGTTAACGGAACGATACTCAAAACTGCGCTTACCAATCCTTCCGAAGTAAGTAATAAACATTAAATATTGTGTAAATTAGAGAAGAAAAAATAGATAATTCCATTAATATTATTGATGGCTAAAAAGGGAGGGTTTAAGTTATAATTAGTAACATTGAATTCGAACATTTAACGTAATAAAAACCTACTACGTCTAAAAAAAAATAAATAGTAAATATAATTGAAGAATATCCGAAAATAGATAAATATTTTATTGATAAATACTAGACACTTAAAGACAATTTCTTAAATTGAACTCATATTTTTTAAAAATAATTTTATTAATTAATTCAATTATCTTCAATACTATATGTATCTAGTTCTAATACTTATAATTATTATGAATAATGTTAAAAATCTTTTATTATTTTAATACTCCAAAAATAAGATATGACTACGTGGCAAATGAAATTTTTAGAGCTCTACTATCTATAGTTTTGAATGATTTTCAATGTTTAACTTCCATAAACAGATTATGCTATAGTAAAGTTATCGTAGAGCAGATGAAAGAATTGTCTATTTTCGAATGGTGGGAAACATTAATAGTAAATCTATGTGGTGGGAAGAAGGGACGATTATTTCGTTAGTTTTATGATGGTTTATGAAATTTTAACTTTGATTACCTTTTATATCTTTTATTTTAATACGTATAGAATTATCTTTAATTTGTAATATAATAAATAAAAAAAAAAATAAATGATAAAAATGACATTACATATTATTTATTTAAACTGAATTAAGAAATGAAAAGTGATTCAATTGCACTTGGACTCCAAGTCATGCAGGGAAAGTAGTAGGGAGGAGAAAGAGAATTCGGCTAAAGGCCATTGCCAAAAGTGAAAACGTCTCCATCTGTTTACTGATCACATACTCTACTGCTGTTTGATAAAGAGGTCACACTTTCCCTTGTAAACAGGCAGAGTTTGTCATCAGCTTGAACGGCAATAGAACAATTTATTCAATTCAGATTGTGTGATTGAGGATAGATGTAGAAAATGAGTTGGAAAAACAACGTCAGGGACAATAGAAAACCAGCGATAACCGGTGCCAAGGACGGACAGTTGCCATGGTCTTTCGTAACTCGTGAAAGTCCGTACAAAGGGACACTGACCTCCTCCACCACCATCACCTCCTCTTACTCTTCCTTCTCACTACTTGGTGTACCTCGTTTCTTACAAATCACCAGTGAGTACTTGTATAAACTAAAGGCTGTTTGGCTTTCTTAAAGTGCCGCGACGGTCACAGCTTTCCCTGGTTACTTGAGCCCACGTTTAGACATCGAGTCATGCGCTTACCATGTCTGAATCCGTCACGAATAGCTCTACGACCTAGGTACCAGCCGCGGAAAGGTCAGTGAAAGGCTGACTGTGGATTTTACGTAGGAAGTGTTGATATAAAAAATTTCTCCTGCTTGTAGTCCAATTGTGAAATATTGATAAATGTAAATATAAAGGTGATCATCATCATCATGATAATAATAATGATGATAATGACAATGATGGAGATGGTGGAGACGAGTCATGTGAATAAGATGACTCACATCACGCAATATTCACCTTGAGGGAAAAAAGATTTCCAAAAAGAGAAAAAAAATTCAATTGGTTTTTATAATGGAAATTGCTGAAGCTCTAAGGCATTATTGAACTTTTTCAACATTTTTCAATAGACTTAATTATTATAATTATATAGTTATAATACACTTGATTTAAAAAATAATAATTGAAATAAGGGCTTAAAATTTTAATACTTGTAATAAGAATATGAGTTTTTATTTAGTTAGTGAATTATTCGATTTATTGGATTGAAATAAAAAACAAACATGCTTACATGGATGACATTACTGATGTATATTTATTTAAACTCTTAAAAGTTTGTAAATTGTATTAATGAATAAAATTAGAAAGTTTTAGAAAAATTGATTTTGTTTATTTGAAATGATAAATAGTAGAATTTCGCCGCGTCATCACATTGAGAAATATTCTTGAATATCTTTTTAAAATGACTTTTCAATCTCTTTGTGAACTTTTCCTGACTCTAAACCTTTTTTCCGAGTTATTCCAGTTCATCAGATTAAGAATGTCAAGTATTGTTATTACATTCACCTATTTTTCTTTGTGATCCAGGTGGTACATTTACGCCAAAGGCTGGATAACGCCGTGAGTAGTTCGAGGGATCGGGCGTTCCCATTGGACACCACCCTCGCAATGATTCAAACTCTTATAGACTGCGACGAGTTCCAAGATATCGCAACATTACGGGTAAAATTCACTCCTTTGTTTATTCTCAGATCCCTAGTATGCTTTTCTTCACTTGTACATATTTATCTTGAGATAATTTATGGTACACATCATCTTGATAATGATAATCATGAAATAAATAAATTGCAGAACTTGGATGACCTGCTGGACCATAAATCAGACTTAAGTGAAAAGCTGTGTCAAATAGGAGACAGCATAGTTTACAAGTTGGTACAGTGGACCAAGAGATTACCGTTTTACCTTGAACTCCCGGTTGAAGTTCATACGAGGCTGCTTACACACAAGTGGCATGAACTTCTGGTGCTAACGACATCAGCTTATCAAGCAATGCACGGCCAACAAAAATTCACCAATGTTGGCTCGGATGGCACAGGCGCTGATTTTATGCAAGAAGTAATTATTGGATTACATTATTTATTTCTCAACATTATTTTACATTAACAATCATATCAATGAGAAATCAATTTCTGTAAACAATACATCTTACGAAACATTTTTCGAGCTCCAATTTTTCCTTATATAATAGGAAAAGATATTTCACATTATTCAAGCCATTATTTATTTCAGTACTAAATAGTTTCATAGTAGTTGATGTTTTTTTAAAAAATTATCATGTTTAATGGTCAATTATCATTAATAGTAATTGATTAGAGACATAATTGATAGTAATTCAATAAAGATAATTTTTTTATTTATCACTGATAGTTTGTTCGTGGTCATTAAAAGTGGTGAAATAAGTTAGTATTTAAATAAGAGAAATTGTGCTAAGTAATGTCAATTATTTAGAAAGAATGGTAATGAAAAAATTGTTTTTATTGTTATATAGGTTTCGAACAATATGTACACGCTACAAACGTGTCTAACGAGCATGATGGGACGAACCATAACAATGGACCAATTGAGACAAGACGTGGGCCTCATGGTGGAAAAAATAACGTATGTCACACTCATGTTCCGACGAGTTAAATTACGGATGGAGGAATATGTTTGTCTAAAAGTTATCACCATGCTATCACAAGGTAAATAAAATTTAAAAAATTGTCAAATTAATTAATTTAATTAGACGTTATTAAGACATTTAAATCAACCAAATGATAAAAAAAATTAATCTTCCTTCATTTTATTGTAACTGCTGTCACTGAAGATACTAAATGTAAGTTTATCTAGATAATAGAAATAATTCAATTATTGTTTAATTAATCAATTTATAAAAAAAATTTATTTTTCAAATAATTAAAGCTATGTTTCTTTTATTAGCTCGAGGAAGTACGATGGAGTTGGAGAATATACAAGACCGATACATGAGCTGTTTAAGGAGTTTTGTTGAACATAGTGCACCACAACAACCTGGTCGTTTTCATGAGCTCCTTTTACGATTGCCCGAAGTAAGTAAATTTTTTATCTATGCTACTGCATGTCTAATTGGAGCTTGTTTACACGCCTAGAGAAGTAAACGACCAGACAGCTACTGTCTATGTTGACTAATTAAAGGAATAATGATTGAATTAATGATGTGCTGAGGCAGGAAAATTACTGAATACATAAATTGATCTTTACATATTTGCTTTTGAGTAATTTGTCACCATTAAGTCATTTCTCAGGAAAAAAAAATTAATTATCAGTAAATTGAGAAGTCTAAAGTAACTGCTACAATAATGCTTTCAAAGCAATTCATCATTTCTAAGAATTAAATTAATTTTTCAATATGTTGATGACTAAACATTATTTTAATTAATTTTCAGGTGCAATCAGCGGCAACACTACTTCTTGAGAGTAAAATGTTTTACGTTCCTTTCTTATTGAATTCAGCAATTCAAAGATAGTAAATAGAAGAAATAGATATGTTGGAAAAATCTATTCGTAATCGAATAGAATTAAACAAAGAAACGTATAAAGTGACCCTTAAATGGAGGGTAAAGACTTTGTGTATATACATATATATATATATATATAAATATATATAAAAATATATCTATAAATATTATAAATATTAAAGAAAAACAATATAAATACAAGAATCCGTTCGTTAAAGTTTTTCTAACGAAGAAAAAACAGTACGAATAACAAATAAATAGAAACAAATGAGGAACAAACTTAAAGAGAGTAAAGAGTAAAATGCAGGGATCTAAGGACGAAACTGAAATAATTAAAAATGTTAGACGAATCATTGGATAAAAAGTTATAAAAAATAAATTGTAAAAAAAAAAAAATTGAAAATAACAAAGGCAAACTAAACAATCGAAAAAAATGATGAACTGAACTTTTATATCGAGACTAAAAGACTATATTTCTGTATTCAGTCGCGCAACTATGTCATTGTGTGTTCACATTGCATAATCCAATCGATATAACAATAAGCAAAGACTCTCATACGCCCAACGCAGGTCACTGCTTTGCCGCAACAATTAATCGACCGGCTAACCGACGTGATCAACATCACGCTTAATATACTTCTCCTTTAATCAATTACTCTTGAATAATTAAATAAATCAACAAAAGATTTATTTATAATTGTTATTGTTATTATGAAACAAAAAAGTGAAAAGTGAACTCTGCATTTCGACCAATTTTTTGATGCTTAAATCAATTTTTTATTTCATCTTATAATTTTGAATGATTTTTTAGAGTGATAATATAATTATGATAAACAAAATTATTTTATAATCATGACTGAACAAAAGAAAATATTTTAATACTTTTAAAATCGCATACAATCGATTGCAAGGCATTTTTAATTTTAAATTAAAATTGAGATGTAATTTAAAACTATTTTGTGTAACTGGAACAAAAAAAAAATTGTCATTTATAACAAATATAAATGGAGATAAAAAAATTTTTGTAAATGCATATAGAGCCTTAAAAAATTAGATTATTATCATAAATTCGATTTTCTAAAGACTGCACGTCGGTACGTGAAAGTACTCATATAAAAAGAAAATATTTAATTATTTCCGAAGTGTGTACACACACTCGGCCTCCTCCGATTGGCTCAATAAATTAAGGTATGAGATATATAAAAAAATATTATAAAAAAAAAAAAATTAATAATAAAAATACAAAGTTCAAAGTACCAGTGGCTCATGCTAGTTAATGTTATTCACGTTTCGGAAAACTGCTTCTCATATATAATATACATGCGCTATTCAAACAAATTATTTTCATTTCAAATTTGTAAATTCGTTTTATCTTGCCTCTATAGAGATTATTGAAAATGTAAATGATTCTGTTTTTATTATTGTATGCTGACGACTGTGTAAAACCAAAAAAATTATCTAAAATTACAATCAATTCAAAAAAAGAGAAATATCAATCTGTTAATTAATAAAGAAAAATTTGTCGATTATTCTTATTATTAAATTGATTAATGAGTGTTATATAAAAATTATTACAGCGTTATTCAACAAAAAAATATTTTAAGAATTAGACAATAAATTGTAATCAGCAGTTTGTTGACTTTCTATGTTGATAAAAATTGGAAACTATTAAATTAAATGACAAATTTAATTACAAGTTTTAATTAAAATTCCAATTGGAAAACATAGACCAAATTAACTGAAAATTAGTAAATAAAATTTTATTGTAATAAAATATAAAATAAATAAAAATTATCAATGAATTAAATGTTGATTACACAGTTAAATTTCATTGAAAAGTATTATAAATTATAAATTGTTTACAAAATATTGATGATAAAACAATTTAAATAAATTAATTAAATATAAAAATTAGTATCAAAGTCAAATTAATTAATAATTTTTAAGTGTGAAAATATAAAAAATTGTACAAAAAATCAATGATAACACAGTTGGGAGCATACTTTGATAAATAATCGTCACGAACTATACACAATCTTTGGGCCTATTCGCCTAGAGGATACTTGTCCATACTATAAGACTTAATTACTGGATGGATAAACTTTATGCCGTTAAAAAATGTACATTTGAATAAATTACAAGAATACGGTAAGGGCTACTGTATTACCCGATATCGTCGTACTAACGTGTTCAATCGGACGGTCGATGGGGTGTAACTGTCTATTAATAGCAAATATCATTCATTATTAATTATCAATATGATGTAAAAAAAAAAACCATAAAACATTGTCTTTCTGCATATATTTTTTTATTTTCATTTACTCTTCAATTTGTTAATATGTTTTCGTTTACATAAACTGCCATGCACGCTTAATATTCCAGATAATCGCGATGTCAATAATTAATTAATTGATAATTATTATTAATAATTTGTAAATATAGATAAAAAAATTAACAATTTATTATTGTTGATTTTTTAGAATATTAATTTAAGTAATTTTAATTTCTTGAATTGGTCTAAACGTTTTAAATGTATTTTTTGATTATGTAAATACGTAAAATTATTAATTAATTAATTATAATAATAAATAAAATAATAGCCGTGGGTCAATAATAATCAATTATTGGAATTCAATAAGAGCAAAAAACCACATTGGGCTGTCTTTTGTGTATATTAGAAATATGTACAAAGATGTCTGGGAGTACAGCAGCCTTTCACGAGGAAGGCTAAAGCGTTGGATCAGCAAGACTTAGGGCATTATACTACCGAGAGTATTATTATGCCCACTTTTAATATTTAAGTAAGAGTGAGAGTCCACGAGAAAAGTATGTCTCTCGTTTATGGGTTTAACTTTGTACATATTGTACGAAAAAATTTCATATTTAATAAATAATAATAACTCCTAATCATCACTTTCATAATAATAATAATAATATTAATAACAATAACTATATATTAAAATTACTAGTCTTGTTTTTAAATATTTTTGTAAATACATTCTAATCTCAATATTCGATTTCATTTATATAAAAAGTTTATTTTCGTTATTTAATCATTATTAGATTTGGTTTATGATTCATTATAAAGTAAATGAACATTATTTTATTGTAAAAGCTAATAAAATTGATAATAATTATAGCTAAAGATTTTTTATTAGAAAGTTTTATAGAAAAAAGGAATAATTTTTGAAAAAATTATTAAAGTTAACCCAGAAACGATAGACACAAACAGATATGATGCCGTAATGTTGGCATAATTAATTGTCAATGCGTGAGTCAAAGTTACCAATATTTACCTACGTTTAGAAAGTATACTTTTATTATTCGTTTATCTTAAACTATTCCTTTTGTAAAATGAGATTGTGCACTTACCTAGGAAGATATTATCTGCTCTGTTCGGCGAAACCAAGGAATACAAATATTGAATGGTTAATTAAAATAATATCAACATTACTTTAAAAAGTTTACATAATTATTTGCAAAAATTATTTTACACATTAATTTTATTCCAAAACAGGAAAAGTCCCGATTAATAAAAACAGTATTAAATAATAATTCAAATAAACCAAGTAAATATTCATGGGTAAATAGTATAATTCGTTCATAAAATTATGTAATGATGAATCATAATAATATGTTACTCATCGAAAATTCCACGAATATTAGTTGATAAGCTATTAATATTTTATATAAAATAAAAAAGACATAAATATCGATTGTATGACTGATTAACCAAACAGAGCAGACACATTCTGACTTAACGGTGTGTGAAAACCCCCTGTATTTTTATGGAATAAATAAGATATTTTAAAAAAAGTAAATCTGAAGTCTGGTTGGAGATGCCTTTTAATAGGGATTATAAATGTAGATAATATATTATACATAATGAACATAAATACACTATATTATTATATTGATAGTAAGGAAGTAAATAGAATTATTATTATATATATGATGAAAAATAATATTATTACAGAAATAAACAAACTGATTAAAAATAATATTCTGAGTTCTATGTTATTTGTATTTTAATTATTTATTAAATTATAAAAAAAACAATTTACGTATTAAAAAAAATTGTAATTATTATAAAATTAGATAAGCAATACCCAGAATAGACCGTTGCTTTATCATATTAAATTATTATTTCTACATCAAAATTATTTGATATCATGAGCATGAAAAGTCCTACTAATAATAGAATTTGTTTTTGATTTATCAAGTAAATTTTTTTATCTCTGCTAAGGTTAATCATAAAGCTATAATATTTCTGGTAATTAGCAGTAGTAAACACTGTTGAATCAAGTGGAACCTTTTGTTATTAAACATGAAATGTCAATTTGAGAAAAAAGTTATTGCAAGTCTCTGATTATTAATGAGTTATTTATAACATTTATTAATTTCGATAATTCGAAAAAATTATTTGGTAATAATTATATTAACATTACACGTAATTTCTTATCAAACTGCGCCATAAAACTTTTTCGTTATAACAGATAACACATGTATTTCTCTTATTTGTCTACGTTAATCCTGAAATCTATTTTTTATGATCGTCGAACACATTTGTGACATTATTAAAAAAAACTAGAAGGGTACATATTGATTCATATTTTTAATGATAATTAGATGAGTCAATAGTATATAAGCGACGTGTAGAATATTTGAGCTGTAGTCAATTTTTTATCGCCTACAAAATAATTAAATATTGTAAGAGATTGGAAGTAAGTTGCAAAATACTTGAAATGTATTCAAAACTATCCTATTTGTTTCTAATTGGGTTAATCAGCCAGGTATGTGAATATCACTAAATACAGAAGTATCATAAATGATATTGAAATATCAAAAGAAAAAAAAAGGAGAAATAATACGAGAAAAAAATACAAATTTCAGAGTATTGCTGCACCAAATTTAATCGATGAATTCACTGTTGATGAAGCAACAGAAAATTTTTATTTTAAAAGCATGGTATTATATTTATTTAATTTATCAAATAACACATATACCTTTTTTTATATTCTAATAGTATTGAAAAAATCATTTTTCAGCGGTCATACGTACAAGAATGTCTACATCGAGATAATTCAAGCAGTTTTAATCTAGAGTTGTTAGAAAATCAGGTATGTATATAATGAAAAAATTATTAAATTAGTTTTTTTTTAAGACAAGCTAAATAATTGGAAAAAAAACACATTCGAAATCCACTTATTAATATACATTTAATTTTTAACCAGATTAATGAGTCCTCTAACATTGAAAACATCTTATCATTGGACGAGATTGCAGAACTAGTAGAAATCGTATTTGACAATGTACGTATAAATCTTAATACCAATTTATAAATTTTTTTAAATATTTATAAATTCTATTCACTAAAAATTTTCTTCATTAGCTTATGAATGGATTGGACAAAGATAACTTTTCGGAGATAGTTGAACAGGCCAGTGAAGATGTAATTTTGTATTTTCTTTTCTACTATGTTAATGCCACTGACAATTACAACTGACAATGTAATTCTATTTTTTAGCTTAATTGGGTTGTTAAGTCAGGAAGAGAAACAGATCTAAACGACATCGTAAAAATAGTAGCTAAATCAAGTAAAAAGGTAATGAACGAATAACAAAATTTTTGTTTTTTAATTTTTTAGCTCTTATTAATATTTTTTTATTCATCTTATTAGTTCATGGAAGTTGTTATGACTCGTGATGAGGATTTTAAAGAAATACACTCTTTAAACTACGAGGTAATTAAATTATTAGTTAGACATATAATTATTAATCATAAATTAAATTGTAATAAATGATCAAGGAAACCTCGACGAATGAAATAAAACAATTTGTATATTTATGTATACTTTTTACAGTTTATAAAAGCAGTTGTACTAAATCAATATCCAGAATTGTTCAGATATTTCCTATATTTCTTGCAGCATATTATAGATGAGGTAAGAAATTCGAGCTGATTTCTTTTCATTAATTGTTTGGATGTTACATATATTAAAAATTCGTTCTAAAACAGGTCGATCACTATCAAGAATCAAATGACTTTGATGAAGCAGCCAAAGCTCTCAAATCAACGATTGAACAAACTAGAAATGAAGTAAGAACTGGAAAAATACGGTTTTTACTATGTATTTAAAAATTAAGTAAAATAAATATTGCAATTTTTTCTTTGTATAGATCATCAATTCACCAAATGTATATAATGATCAAGTATTCAAATCAATGGCGACATCAATCAATAGATTGGCTAATGAGGTAAATTAGTAACTTTAGCATACTTCAAACACACGGTTAGTTTCAAGATCAAGGCTCTACGTCCTACAATAATACAATAATTGATTGCAAATTGCTTGTTGAGTTTGAATGGACTAGTAGCCTGGACATTTATCGAAAACACTATTTGTTGTCTAAAAAATACTCAATGAAATCGTTTGAATTCTAGATTTCATTTCTTTTCAATATGGACCTGTCTGATGATAACAAATTCAGCGCTACACGATGCTTGGCAGAAGATGCAGTGGAGGCGGTAATATGCTTATTTTCAAAATTACATTATCAAATATTATATATATATATATGTATTTCATAATATTCAAATTATTTTAGATGTTCATGCAAGCATTCATGATTCAATTCCGCTCAGCAATCGACTCATAAGATGATTTTACGACAAAGTATGTCTACGAGATAATGAAATGTAAAAAAACTAATGGAATGATGGAAAAATTTTTAAAAATAAATCTGGTTAAAAATAAAAATAATGTTTGATTAAAAATATTATCAAATAATAAAATTTACTTGAATGCGTGATAACTTGTTTTTTAAAATAAGATCTCAATTTACCTCAGTATCTTCTCAAGATATTTTCCTTTTTCAATTTTAACATCAATAGTTTGTTTGAACAACTGTAGAATTAGAATTAGCTTGATTATTTTATAATGATCTTAATGAAACATAAAGTTAATAAAAAAATTCGTTTACAATTTTTAACGATTAAAAAAAAACCGTTTCAACTTTTCAAAAGGTTTGGACATCTAGGGACTTTACTGCGTCGATAACACTAGATTTAGTCGATAAAAATATCGTTTGGTAATATATCGAATCGAAACGTGGGAATTAATCGAATTACATACGGAGTGAATACAAGATTTCGAGATATATGGTCATGTCTTTTTTGTGTAAAAAAAATTATTCCATCATATTCTAATCACAATATGTATTATTATTCACAATGATAAAGTACATTTGACGTTAAAGTGTCCAACTTGTTTAATTAATCAAATTAAAAATAAAGGCCATGTCCTTTTTTGTATTTTATTAATTTTTATCTGGGTGTATTATTTTCTTATATTCCTGTAAAAGTTAACTGCGTTGATTAATATTATTGTCCATTCCAATATGACTTCGAATGCTGATGTCTATGATGATTTATATTTGTAAGTAATAAATAAGTAGTTTTTTAAATCATTAAAACATTTTTTTATAATTATATCACTGTGCTCACAAACATTGTTTTAGTTAATTTGAGTTTATTTTTATTTATTCTACTGTTTTTCGAGTTGTTAATATTTTTCAATATACAGTTTTAAAATCAAATAATTTATACTCTAAATAATAATATAACCTTTTTATTTAATATTTTATAGATATACTACAGCTGAAAAATTTTATGTTGAGGCAGTGAATGCCAAAGTACTGTTAGTAGTCGATAGATTAAATCAGCAAATATTTATTCAAGGTATGATAACAGATAAAAAAAAACATTTATTGTAAATAAATAATTTACAGAAATTATTGTATATTTTATTTTGATTTTTAGTAGGCACAGCAAGTCAAATTCCACAAGCTGCAAGTCGACGAAAAATATGGGGTATTATTGGGACAATTCGACTACTAGCATGTCGATATTTTATTGTAATCACAGAAGCAGAAAAAATTGGTACAATAGCAAATCAACAAATATTCAAGATTGTTTCAACGGACATTATTCCGTATTCAAAATCAGATCTTCATTTAACTGAGAAGCAGATTGAAAATAACACGACATACTTGGAGATGATCAAGTCAGTTTTAAGTACTCCATACTTCTATTTCAGTTATACTTATGATCTCAGCCATACTATGCAAAGATTACACAATACACCTCCAGAATTTCTTCAGGTTTGTTGACTAAATATTTTGATTAAAAACAATTATTCATCATAAAATATTTACACAGATGCCATTACATGACCGAGCTGATCCTCGATTTATATGGAACGCACATCTGTTACAAGACTTAGCATCTAGGCCAGAATATTCCAAGTTTTGTTTACCAATCATTCATGGATGTATCCTTTAAAAATTATTCATTTTAATTCAATTAAGTTAAGTAACCAAGTTACTCAAGTGCATAATGAAATTTCTTAACCACATATCATTAGTTATTTCTCTCAATACTGTTGTTGCTAATGGTATATCATTCAACTGGGGTATTGTATCTCGCCGAAGCATTCACCGTGCAGGAACACGGTTATTTTCACGTGGAATTGATGCTAATGGTAATGTTTCTAATTATGTCGAAACTGAACAATTGATAGAAGTTAATGGTGACCGAAGTTCTTTTGTTCAAACGAGAGGATCAATTCCCTTATTCTGGCATCAAGAGCCTAATCTCAAATATAAACCCAAACCACAATTACTGTTGCATGAAAATCATCAAATCGCTTGTTCTAGACACTTGGATGCGCAAATTTTTCACTATGGAAAACAAATATTAGTAAATTTAGTAAGACAAGTTTATTTATAAATATTTTTTTAATAATAAAATAAAATGTTTATATTAAATACTTTTTATTTCTTTAGATTGATCACAGGAATGCTGAAGGTATCTTGGAACAAGAATTCCGTTCTGCTATATCAAAAATAGGAAATCCTGATGTACGTTATGAGGCGTTTGATTTTCATGCAGAATGTCGACACATGCGTTGGGACAGATTAAATATTTTAATGGATCGTTTAGCTCATGATCAAGAACAAATGGGTTACTTTTTATTATCAAAAGACGGGGCTTTAATTTCTGCTCAAGATGGTGTGTTCAGAACGAATTGTATCGATTGTTTAGACCGTACAAATGTTGTGCAGAGTATGTTGGCTAAAAGAGCACTTACAGATGCTTTAGGAAAACTTGGTATTCTTCGTAACCTTGAGGATCATCCGTCTTTTGAAAAATTATTCAAAGAAGTATGCAAATAAATTTATTAAAAATTAACGCTCAATATTTAATAATTCACCAATTTTTTTTGAACGTCAGGTTTGGGCAGATAATGCTGATACTATCAGCATTCAATATTCAGGGACTGGTGCTTTAAAAACAGATTTCACTCGTACTGGTAAACGTACACAGCTAGGAGCCATTAGAGATGGAATTAACAGTGTAACTAGATACTACAAAAATAATTTTGCCGATGGTTTTCGTCAGGTAAAAAATTCTCAGAGAAATAATAAACACGAATTTCAAAAAAAAAAAAACTTACACGCTCAACAAAAAAAGATACATTATCAGTTTCTAATTTTATTTTATTTCAGGACTCTATTAATTTATTCTTAGGACGTTATGTTGTACAAGAGGAAGAGTGTATGCAATTGAAGTGTCCACTAGAATATGAAAGAAATTGGAGATATGCAACATTCCCATTAGTGCTTTTAATCGCATCATCTATGCTGGTTGCTCATGTAGTCCTTCCGACAACATATTCAACAGAAGTTTTACTCTACATGCTTTTTTGGGGTGCAATGGTCGCTGGTACATTTGCAACTATTATTCATCATGGAAAACAATATGTTGATAAGCCAAAACTATTGTAGTCGTACTGAAAATATTTTTATTAATACTAATTATTTTATAAATTAATACTCAAGAAAATATTGAGGAACTTGGTATAGATTTGGTGGGCCAATATTAATTGCACGAATTTCGATAATGTTAATATTATATGATTTGTTTTAATATGAAAAATTTTAATTGTACATTAGTAAATATTTGAATTGTGTATGTATATCTTTTAGAGAGAAATTATGATTGGATCTATTAAAACTATTTAACGAAAACTGTGTTATTAATTATGTACTCATTAGTAACAAAAGGTTTTTTAGTTATCTGTATTTGACTTATTTTTTAATTATAAAATTGTTGGTAAATTTTATCAATTTTATCTAATTTTCGAAACTATTTTTCGTCGGCAGAGTCGACTTTTCCGGAATTACCCGAAGTCGATTCTTTCTCCGGTCTAACTATAGCTGTAGTATAGTATACAAATAAACAATTTCTGTGATGAATAAAATAAATTTTAAACGAAATAGTTGCTCAAAAATATTTAATTTTTTTTTTCAATTATCTATAATAACTAAAGCGAGATTGCAATATTAAATCTTGGTTATATGGAATCTCGAAAGCATTAAAAAATCTAAAAGAAATTTTGTTCTCAGTTCAACAATATACGCCGTAAAGGAGAAGAGTATTTGAAAGCGGCATCGTTACCTTAACCTCTAATTAAATATGGTAAGTTTTGAAATTTAATATTGTTGATCAATGGGACAAGTTTGACATTTGTATTTTTCTGCCATATTTTTTTATTAATTTTCATTAAAAAATTTGTAATTAGGACGTTCAAAGGCATTCAGTTCATACATTGGTCTTTCGTTCGCTGAAACGAACGCATGATACTTTTCTTACAAATCAAGGAATGCTGCCTCCAGTTGATCCCGAATTGTAAGTTAATTTGAAATTTTCTTAACATTGATTTTGTTTATTGATTGATCTATAATAATCATCATATTTTGCCAGAGAAAAATTAAAGAAAAATATAAAAGCAAAAGATTCATACGGTCCGATAATTGAACGAGTAAAAACTAACGAACGTGAGAAAGTTAAAAATCACAACGAAAATACAGATCCACCTCCACCGGGCGGTAAGCATATAATTCGATTATTATGTATCCAGAATACAATATGAGAGATATTCATTCTGTATAATTTTTACTTTATATTTTGTAGATGAATCGTTTACTAATGTACCAAGTGATGCAGTGGTGCCCCATACCAATGTCTCTACAAGTACACTTTCTACAGCACTTGCAACAACTACCAATAACACAGTAGCATTAGCACCAAAAAAAGCTCCATCGATGATAAAACCCAAATGGCATCCGCCTTGGAAATTGTACCGTGTGGTTAGTGGTCATTTAGGATGGGTGAGATGTTGTGCTGTAGAACCTGGTAACGAATGGTTTGCCACTGGCTCGGCCGATAGAGTAATTAAGGTAAAAACAAATATTCAATAATTTGAAATGACATTTTTTCGAATACTAGATTGTCTTATAATGAATATACAATTACAGATTTGGGACCTAGCTCTTGGAAAATTAAAAGTGTCTTTAACTGGACATATCAGCAGTGTTAGAGCTCTAGCCTTCTCTCATAGGCACCCATACCTTTTCTCTTGTGGAGAAGATAGACAAGTAAAATGTTGGGATCTCGAGTATAATAAAGTTATAAGACATTACCATGGGCACTTGTCAGCTGTCTATTCGATGGCATTACACCCTACGATTGATGTATTGACTACAGCTGGAAGAGATGCTACTGCTCGAGTTTGGGATATGCGAACAAAAGCTAATGTTCATACTCTTGTTGGACATACAAACACTGTTGCAAGTGTTATTAGCCAGTCAAGTGAACCTCAAGTAAGTAAAATCATTAACTTGGATAAAAGTGCTCCAAAAAGATTGGATTACCAATTTTTGAATTAATTGTTTGGTTTCAGATTATTACAGGAAGTCACGACTGTACTATAAGATTATGGGATCTTGCAGCAGGCAAATCTAGAGCAACATTAACCAATCACAAAAAAAGTGTGAGAGCACTTTGTTTTCATCCTTCAGTGTAAGAAATTATTGTAATATAAAATTGTATGAATATTTAGTAAATTTTTCTAGCTGTTATAATTAATCTAATTGTTACAGATACATGTTTGCTTCCGCTTCTCCAGATAATATTAAAGAATGGAAATGTCCAGATGGTAAATTTGTACAAAATTTGTCTGGTCACAATGCTATTGTAAATTGTTTAGCAATTAATTCAGAAGGAGTATTAGTTTCGGGTGCAGACAATGGTACAATGCATCTTTGGGACTTTAGAACCGGGTAAATAATTTTAAACAATTGGATTCAGAGAATTTCAATTTTTCGAATTATAAACAACTAAAAAAATTAATAATTAAAATTGTAATTAACGTCAATTACAGTTATAATTTCCAACGTCTTCAAGCTCCGGTACAGCCGGGATCAATGGACAGTGAAGCCGGTATCTTCAGTATTACATTTGACATGACCGGAAGTCGGATGATTACGACAGAAGCTGATAAAACTATAAAAATGTACAAAGAAGATACAGAAGCGGTAAGTATAAATATTATTCAAGCTTACTTTCATGATTATGATTTTCTAAATAATCTAGTTCATTATTATTTTTTATAGACTGAAGAAACTCACCCAATTAATTGGAGACCAGACATTATCAAACGAAGAAAATATTAAAAACTGCATTGTGAAGTGTATATTATTATAATTGTACAAAATTTTTAATATAAATTGCTATAAAAACAAAGAGTAAGCATTTATTGATCAATTTTCATTATATTTCTTCATCTAAATCATAATTTTCTTCCGGAAAGTCCCCTTTTTTGACATGACTTGGTTTTACAAATCCACCATATTTTGGAGGGCATTCAAAGTATCTTTTCCCATTAACTCTAAAGGAATAAATGTATTATAATTATAAAGATTATTATAAAAAATCTATCATAAAGTATAAAATACTTACGACCCATCATTTTTGCCAAGAGGCTCATCATATTTAACTCCAACCCATAATCCATCTTTAAAATCTGTTTTACCTTTTAAGAATAAAATTAATTGTAATGATTGAGAACTTACCATTACTATTTTAAAATTGGTCATTAAACATTATTGTTCATTATTTTCATACATAAATAAAATTTTTTTACCAATATACATAATGGTAGCTCGTCGCGTTGGTTGTGAAGGTACACGAACTTCACATCTATCCCCAGGATTAAAACTCTTTACCATCTCTTCTTCCATTTCACGTTCCTGTTTTCGTTCTTCTTCTTTTTTCTTCATTTCTTCTTCATTATACTTTCCTAATTTATTCTTTTCCAAAAATGCTTTCACAGTGTCTGATCTTTTAGAATATTCTTCTTCGGATATGGTGAATTTTTCAACATTTGACAGATCATCTGTGCGTAAAAAATTATCAATGACCTGTAAAAATAAACAAATGTTTATATTAAACGTAGTAAGATTGAGAAATACTTGAATAAAAAACCGTCTTACATGAACCGTCATTCCATCATCAATAGGATAAGATCCTAAAAGCCGAGATCCTTCATTTGGACAGCATACAAGTTTATTATTCTTATCATAGACCTCCAACTTCATTGTAGCAGGATTTCCTCCTGTTACTAATTCCAATTTACCCTGGAAAAAAGTAAACATGGTTAGAATTTTTTCGCTGAAACAGCATCTTTGTTTAGGCTTAATAAATTTGAGTAATAATTTTTATTTACTTTAAATTCATCAATAGTAATTCCTTTTTGATATCTTCTTTCAACACATGACGTTTGTTGAGCAGAAGTCGTAATATTAACGTTCACAAAGTCTGAAGTGACAATATTGAGCGAAGTCATTTTTAATAAATAATGATTATTTACTCGATCAACAAATGAATATTGCAATTATATTATGAATAAAATAATTTGAGGCCGAAACCATTTGTTTAGAAGCTCTAAAAAATGTCATTCGGTTGGTGCTGCTCCCTACGGATTACTCCAAAAACGAATTATTGTTTAACCATAACCAATATGACGTACAATACGTGTTAGCCGTTAAATCTAAGCTTTTGTATAAATGCATACATCAACATAAATTAATAATAATTATTGTATTAAAAATTTGTTCATAGTGAGTAGTAGAATTATAAAAATTTGTTAACCAATATATTAAAAACAATGTCTAGACAAAATCAAAAGAAATTTAAATGGAATTTAGACTTTTCCCACAAGTAAGTGTAATTAATAATTGTCAATGACCTAGTAGTTTATAAGTGAATATTTTTATAGAATTTAATTTATTTGTTTTAGAGTTAAACAAGATAGAAATACTGAAATAGCTAGTCCTCCAGGATATACCCCTAATATAGGGCTTTCTCACAGTATTGAACATCTGAGAGAGAACGATTCTAATCATTTAATTATCAAAAAGTCATGGGATCTAGCGCTTGGACCTATGAAACAAGTACCAATGAATTTATTTATTATGTTTATGGCTGGAAATTCTATATCAATTTTTCCAATTATGATGGTCGGGATGTTAATTATTAGGCCAGTGAAAGCTTTGTTTACATTACAACAAAGTAAGTATTTTATTATTTAAATATTAATTTATCACATAAGTTACTCATTATTTGTCATAAAGTATTGATTTATCAATTAAAAAGTTTTCTGAAAAACGTACTCGATTGAGTAAAAATATTAGAAGGCAGCTATAAACTTATAGACATAAGAATAAACTTTTTCTAATCGTTTGACATAATAAAGGTGAAGCTATGAAGCTCTATAAAAGTTAACGTTCAATAAATTTACTCTAGATATATTTCACCTAGTACCATTAAGAATAATCTGTGCTAAATACGCAAAACCTTTTATAAATGAATGTGACTCAACAGATCTTTTAAAGTTGATGAAGTAGTTGATAATATAAAGTCGTATTGATTAATTTCTTTTTCTTTCAGCATTCAAAGTAATAGAAGGAACTCATGCCTATGCTCAAAAGTTTGTATTTTTCTTGGGACAAATAGTCAACATAGCTCTAGCACTTTATAAATGTCAATCAATGGGTCTACTGCCAACACATGCGTCAGATTGGCTGGCTTTTGTTGAGCCACCAGCAAGACTTGAATATTCGGGAGGAGGTTTTGTTTATGATTAATTATCAATGTTTCATCACTTTTTTTAATCTATTAAATCTTTACGTAAATAAATTTAATTACCATTGAAACCAACAGATTTATATTTATCATATCACAATGTTTTGAGGCAAGATTATATTTCCAGAAGAAAATGAAAAATACAAAGAATCAATTAATAGTTATAGCAGTATTTACAGTTATTTTTAAATTACATTGTGTTGCTATAATTAATCTATTTTTTCTTATGATCATCAGCGAATTCCTTTAACCTCTCTATAATTTTAGAGGGTTCATCTACTCTGGGAATCTGCAACAATGAATAAGTAATCATGTCATGCATTTATTTACATAAAATTAAAAATTAAATATCTTTTTGGTACCTCATAGTTTTGACAGAGATATATTCCAGTGTAAACACCTGTCCCAAAGGTTAACTAAAAAATTCTCTTAACTATAGTTATTGTAAAAATATCGATGATCAAATATTTATTGTCAATTGTTTCACTTACCAGGAATTTAATCATTTTTATAACAAAAAAGGATATTTATGTAGCGAAACCAAGCTCAAAAAATCAGAAATTGAATAGATCAAAAATAATTGAATTTTATCGATTTTATATACATTAAAATTAAACTAAATTATAATTTTGTGTGCATCATGATAATAGCGATCGGCAGATAAAAGAAGTGTCAGAAATATTTATTCGCCAAAAACATTCAAACGTAAAGACTCATTTTCATGAACAGCGAAACTCTAAAGCTTTTGTTCTATGAGTGTCCTTCGAAAGAGATTATAATGTTTTAATGTCAATTATGTATAAATTTTATTTATAAAATTCATTTTTTAGTGTAATTAATATTATTTAATCGCATTAAGTAATCAAAATAAATTAAAGCATCTTCAAAATATGTAATTTTGAATAAAGAATATCTCTGTAAACATCTAAAGGCTTGTATCCATGAAAAATGTACAGTGCCATATATTACTATTGAAGAGAACTCCAAATCAATATTCTTTGTATTCATCTTTTAATGCGTAGTTAATTTATCGCTGCTTTTTTTTAGTAAGCTATAAAACTCTACGCATTTCTTCATTTTTGCATTCACTTCAAAGCAATATATAAGTCACTGTAATTACCGAGAGGTCATGAATCGATTCTTTCCAGAAAAATATCAGTCTTTCAACAGCCATATTCCCAACCTCCCGGTGAGTATTTTTCCGTACAATTTTCTGTAAAGTTTCATTGGTCTTATCGTTTACATCATTCTACCGAAATCTAACCTTTACATGTTTGAAAATAGAATTAACTTTTAATTAGAAATATACTTATTAGATTTGCTTGTATTTGTTCATGATTTTTTAATGTTTAGTAATAATTTAGCATGTTACAATATTGAATGTGACGGGTGTAATTAATAGTGTATACTGTTTTACGACTACAGGTATGTGTACCCATCCATAAATTTCCTCTCATATCATAAAAAATATCACTGACAACCACTAAATTATTTTGAACAAATTTTTAATTTTCGCTATATATTATAGCACTAACATACATTTACAATATTCATAACCTCTAATTTATATGATTTTCAGCATTAAAAATTTCTTTAAATAATTATAATTAATAATTAATAATCAGAATTCTTTAATTACTGCCATTATATCATTTTATCAGCTTTAGTTTTTGGAAACAACAATTATAAATTTCATGAGAAAACAATCTCGTTTACAAAATCTTTATCATTAGAACAATCAAAATTATTTCAATGAAAAGTTACAACATAGTTACAATAATCTATTCAGCGCTTTTATTCGAAAAAATAGTTGTTCATCAGAGTGTGTTAACGATCCGTTGATGATCAACAACTTTATTCAAACCAAAGAGATGTTAACACTCTTTGTACTTTTCAAATTAAATATATATATGTATATGTATATAATATTCAATTCATAATAAACTCGACTGATTATATTCAAAATAAAACCAGCTACATAGTAAGCTGAAAAATATAACTGGCATTAATTTCTTTCTTCTGTGGTGATTCTATTTAAATTCAATTCATCTGTTTGATTGTAATCCCTGTGCATTACAGTTTTAAAACAAATATACAGATGCCATACATTCTGGTACGTGGTAATCTTGCGTCCTACAGCCACAAATATCCTTGGAGAGTGCTCGTTTCTGGTTTGAAAGGTATCATTCGTATTCCTTCTTATTGTATAGTTGACGTTTTTTATTTCACCAAACTGTAGTGCATTTTCGAATAAATTATGTATGCATTTAATTTCAAATCATTTTTGCCACCTTCATTGATTGAAGAAATATCAAAAGCTTTGAAAATAATTTAAATGTTATATTATTCATTAATACTAATTTCACCACAATACTGTTGCCTGAGAGTATAATAATTTGATTGTAAGAAGATAATAAATAGTAATTAATGAGAATTGAGGGGTGACAATTGATGATAAATATTTAACAAAAACTTTTTTCTATTTCAGCTTCAGATATTGAACAATTAAGTCGTTTTGCTTCTGGAGGATATTGTGATCAAGCGACAATCGTTTACTTACAACATCCTTGTGTAATATTATCCGCCCTAGAAGTCCTAGGATACAAAGTTGTCGCATCTTCTAGTACGAGTGTAAAACAAGATTACAATGAGTATATGTGGACAATGAGAAAAGATTTTTCTGAACCTGAACCAGAACCGATTGTTAAAACAGGTATGTCCAGTAATGCTACCTCATAAAAATTAATGTTGTTACCTAATCATAGAAACGAAATAAAAATTTTTGATTTCAAATAATTACTTAGATATTTACTGCCATACATATGCTATTTCATTATTGCACTTGTTTATTGCAATATGTAAAATAAATTAATGCCTTCAAACCATTGGTTTATTACAAATACAGAAAGATACGCTTTATATTATTCAAATATCAAATTTTGGAATGATTATAGATAATTAATCGATCTTTGTAGTTACTAATAATCATTTTAAAGAGTACGGGTCGTGATATTTTATTATAGTAACTGGCGCAGATTAATCAAAGTGAGGGCATTGACATAACCAAGACGTATCATCTCATCATTTTCATCAGACTTCAGCTATAATGGTCAAAAAACGGGGAGTTGTTTGGTCTTACTATGATAAGAAAGTAGAAGGTTCAACTGTAATAGCGTTTTGTAAATTTTGTCATCGATCTTACATACAAAATGCTACAAGAATGGAAAAACATTTAGCCCGTTGTGAAAAGGCAGCTCCAGATGTTAAACAATTATTTTTACGAGTTTCGACCAGTAAAAGGGTAAACCGAGCTCGACTTTTAGGAGCTAAAATAGGAGGAGATTGGATTAATAAAAATGGAGAAATAACTCTTGATATTTCCAATCTCACGGAAGCTGATATTGAAGATATTAATGAGTGGAATAGGCAAAAAGAAGAAATGGCTAATAATGAAGATGTGCCAGTACAAAGTTTAGATTTACTTGAAGAAGATGATGACCCTGCTGGTTGGTCAGGACAACAGGAAAGTTCACCTTCAAAATTACAACGAAAAAATACTGAATCAATGAAAACACATCGAGAGTGGATAAAAGAAGATGATCTTGAGACTGTGACCGTTGATAATTATGGTATAATTTTTTTTCTTTATCAAATTATTATGAAATACTTTGTAAACTATGATAGCCACACACTCTAGGAAACAATTTAATCATAATGATTAATTTGTTCTCAGTAATTGAAGCAGTTTTATTACAATATTGGATTTCGATGTTATAATTTTCTGAGAAACTTACAAAGTCTTTCGTAATACTAATTATTCAGTTTTTTATCAATAATAATAATTGACCATAGTTATTTGATTTATTTCTAGAAACTACTGAAGAAGAGCCACAGCTACAGAATGTAAATGTTGAACAAGGAAGAGTATCAGTAAATCCGCTTTTACAAAGTGTACAAACAATACCAGCTTCTCCACATTCACCTTTACAAACTAAAATTCTACAGGAACAGCTTTTAGAACGACGAGCTTTTAGAAAAATCGCAGAACTAGAGTTACGCAGAAAAACTCTAGAGTTTGAACGATTCCAATGGGAATATGAACATGAAAAAGCTCGTGCTGAGAAACAATGGGCTCATGAACTTCGCATGATGCAACTCAAAGAAGAACGTGAACGTGTAATTGTGCAAAGAGATATGGAAATTGCGGAATAAGATCGTTTTAACAATACTATATAATGTTATTAATAATTTATTACATTTTTATCAATTATATAATTTCATGTTTTTATTCTCCATCGAAATATGTTACGAAAAAATATTAAATACATAATCAATTCATCTGCCAATTGAATTATTGTAAACACAAATAAAGCGTTTCTTTCTCACTTTTTTGAATAATATCTCATATTCATGAATATTAATATTCGAAAATAATATTGCCTACATTTATAACAATGTACATAAATATTTTGTAGAAATAGTATAATAACATAAAATGAATAAAAAACGAGCCGACTTCATGAGTTACAGATTTTAAAACAAATGCTTATAATAATTTTTATTTTGTTTAATTACATAATAGTAACCAATATTATTTATTATTGTATGTTGATTTTAGCTCTGAAAGATCACGAAGTGTAATTATTTATAAGCAACTAACTGAAAAATGTGCGATATCAAAGCCACAGAAAATATTGGTTCTGTACTCGATGGTGAAATCTATTATTATGTTGCTGTAAGAGGTTCGCCTTTTGCCTCGGAATGTGCAGTTTTTGGATTAACGGAAAGCGAAACAGTTGCTCTATGTAAACGCTTTAATAGTTCTGGATTGGATGTTATAAATGGCGCCATGATCAAAGGTGTTTATTAATAATTATAATTGGTTTATATCTCATTATCATTGGTAAAAAGAAATACACCGATCATTAATCAAAAACTTAAAAATCACCATTTTATGGAAATACACCTCTTCTGATTGCAGGACCACCGTTAGCTGTAATCAATGCTCTAGCTGAGCTGGGCTATCGAATTGTTTCAAGCACTGGAGAGGCTGAAATACTTTGGACTCTTCAAAGAGAACTTTAAATCTGTCATGGTCTAATGTACCTTAAAAACTCATTAGCACTTCTATGAATGTTGTCGCACGTTTTAATCTATAGTCAATAGTCTTACAATTATCAAGAAATGCAACTGATTACTATACTCTTAAATTTTGTCGTGCAATGAACATTTGAGCATTTTAAATCATTCCAGTAAAATATTTTATTTTTTAATAAGAGTTTAAAATAAAGTTTCGAATACGTCATGTACGAATCTTCAATTAATAGCTACAAAAATCAAAAGATTATTCCAATGAATTATTTTATTGTATTAATATATATATTTTATAAACGAAAATATTTTTATTATATTAAAACTTTTATAAAACCATTTGATTGGGAGTTTATACTGATGTTTTAATAAACGTAGTCAATATTAAAATAAACAGGTACAATTAATGAATATAGAATAAAAAAAAAATTTATGGCAGTAGAAAAAAAAATATTGTTCAAGATGAAAATTTTTCTATAAATTTAAAAAATTTAGTGAGAAAATTTATTATTTGTTTCTTCTTCGAAATGTATTTTATGTATTTGTAATCGATCAATTAAACAAAATATATGAAAGAAAAATTTAGCTTCTAATAATAATTCCACGTTATTTATTGTAAATCTTCTAAACTAATTTTTCTTTACATACTTTGTTTACAGAGTCAGTATAGTATTGATTATATTACTTTCAAGAAATTCCTTACAGTAAATTGATTGAATTATAATTGCTATTATTATCTAAGAAATATATCATATACTATGGCTGAAGATCATCATCATCATGATCATGTATGCGAATCTGATAGTGGAGTTCGTCAAACTATTTCAGAAATGGATTTCGATCGTGGAATTTGGTATGCAGGTAAAATATTTTCATATTAGCTCAATATCGTTGCTTATAAAGTTTCACTTTTGTACTAACATTTATCATTTATTTCAATTCAACAGCTCAAGTAAATGATTGTGAACGTTTGAAATATCTTTTAAGTAAAGGAATTTCAGCATCAGCGACGGATTCTGCTGGCTATACCGCTCTTCATTATGCTGCTCGTAGTGGACATCTAGCAATTTGTAGTTTACTGCTGGAACATGGTGCAGATGTTAATGCAGTAACGAAATCTGGTCGAGCAACTCCTCTTCATCGAGCTGCTATGATGGGTAACATCGAAATGGTTGAATTTTTGCTGAAACATAAAGCTAATTGTAATATTCAAGACTCTGATGGGTACACACCACTCCATCGAGCAGTTTTATCTAATTTCCCAGCTGTTTGGGATATTCTTAAATTCAAAACTGATATCAACATTCGTGATAAACATGGCAAAACTGCCCAAGAATTAGCAGGTTCCAACAAGAATAATTTTCTTCTTGATTAGATAATAAAGAATTCAATTAATTTATTGCTACATTTTTATAATTATTATAGTTACGATTTTGTTCATAGTTTTTCTCAATCTTCTAATAAATAATAACGGGATAAGTTCATCTAAATTTAGAATGAAGTTTATAAAACAATTATCGATAGAACATGTATATAAGTGATAATATTTCTTTACAATCGTCCATTATCATAAAACAAACACTTTTAAATCTATAGTTTTATGAATTAGAAATAATGGTAAATAATTGTATATTTCCTTCAGAAGCTAAAAGAATGATCGATGATTTTCATGAAAAAATCATTTAACAATAAAGCATTTTTATGCATGATAAGTTATCATTGATACGATATCAGTGATGATTCTTGATACTTGTTAAAACGTAAGATCCTTTTATTGAAAACAATTCGACTGCATTATTTACAACATTCTAAATTTCAAAGAAAAGACATCAATTATTTTGAAGCATAGAATTAAAAGTACTTTCTTAATTATGGCTACTACAACTACATATCGATATATAATGTTGGTTGGTGATATTTATTATTTTACACCTTATGGATTGAATGAGCAAGAATTAACTGCAATTTGTGAAGCATTTCCTCACTATCCTGTTCCAGCTAATGGAAAAAAATCAACAGGTATTTTGAAAATTATGCAGAATGACAAATTGAAAGTGGCCTAAAGTAATAATTTATCATTTTGAGATTGAGTTTTTAAAAAAGTTGACAAAACCTGGCTAAGGAATAACTACTACTGTTGAAAATGTTTGATTCAACTGAAACTGATTTCAAATAAAAATGACCATTTCATTGATTTCATATATATCTTTATTATTTGTCTCTCTGCACTCATTTAAAAATTATAAATGATTACTTTAGGTCATTTCTCATTTGTTACCCTATATATTTTTATAAATATTACTTGTACATAAGTAAATCATATTTTTTTTATAAAAAAGTAGCTAATGTTATTCTGAATTACAGGAGCAGTGGTTCAAGCTATTAATGCTTTAGCTAATTTGGGTTACCATATTACTACTACAACTTTTAAGAACAATGCAAATCAGTTGGTTTGGATGTTGGAAAAAACTATTACAAGTCCATAAGTCAAGTCATATCTAAAATTATTTGATGACAGTAGCTATAATATCTTAAAAAAATATGAAAATGTTATTTTTAATAAATTTTATGGAAAAAAAAAGGAAACATTTGAAAGTATAATAATAAATGTATTTCGATTTTATAAATATTCAAATATTTCTCTATTAAATATAAAAATATGATCATTTATATTTCCTACTATTTATACTAACCAGACTATTTATTTATGAGCATACAAAGTGGTGAGTTATTTTCAGGAAAATTTATCTTCGATACCTTATCTTTTTTATTGATAATTGTATGATATTTCTTTTGTAAGAATCAAATTGTTTCAATATTGAATTTAAACTGGATAAACAATTTGTTACGTTTAACATTTACAGCTGAAACGAATTTTTTCCTACTAACTTTATAAAGTATTCAAAAGTTTGAATGAGAAGAATGATAGCTGTATAATTTTATTATTAAGTTTCTATAATGTCTACTAATTCAAGATATCATTACTTAATGTTGGAAGGAAATAAAGCTTATTTTATTCCTAATAGAGTAAATAAGGAAGAAAAATAAACACTTGAAAAAGAATTTGTACCTTATCAAATTACTCCAAGAAAAAGAATCCCAGGTATGTTTGCATTATATTAGGTCCCCAAGAAGATAAGTAATAAATTAATTGGAAGCAATCATTAATTATGTATTATACATTATGTTAAAAATATTAACCAACAAAATAAGACATTAAAAAAATTTAATTTTAGATGAAGCATTATCAGCGATAAATGCTCTAGCTGACTTGGGTTATCAACTTATTTCTTCTAGTTTTAATCACAATACATCTAATGTGTCTTGGATATTACAAATACAGGTTTAACAGGTGTTATTAGATAAAAAAATGTTGTAATATCCTATACGACGTTATTATTGTTTGTCAAATGAATATTTTGTTATTTCATCATGTAATATTTACAGAGTAAACTTTACACAGAGAAAAAATTCTAGAAACAGGTGAAAATAATTAATTTAAATAAGATAAAGTCAGAATAATTGCCACCCTTAAAAATAAAAATTAATAAAAATCTTTTATTTTCTATTAACCGAAGAAAAGGTTAAACATTACTGTCTTTTTCATTGAATCTAAGCAATTGTTGTATAGTGCTGGTGCAATTAAAAATAGGGTTGCATCCCTCAGAAGATATCAAATGAAACGTACGATTTGAGACCGGTAAAAATTTATTTTTGTGAAGGAAACTCTGTAATGCAAATACTTTGCTTTCGAATGATGTTTTCGGAATCAGTGTATATTTTTACATAGAAAATGTTCTGTTTTAGATGAGGAAATGAGTTTTGCGATTAAAGTTGCACCAGAACTCAATCATTAGGCGAGTTTTTGTCTTTACTCTATGTGCAATGATTTTTTAATGCACTTTTGAAAAATTACATTTTTTTTTGTATTTTAATGAATAAATAATTGAAAAGTGTTCATAACTTCTATTAAACATTGCCTCGTGTCTTAAGTTTTTTAATTTAATTCACAATATAGTTATAAATAAAAGTATTAATACTAAATTGATAATATTGTAAAAACATTGATATGATAATTTAATTGAAATTTAAATTTCGTAGTAATTGGATTCGTATATTATCGATGACTTTCGGCAAAGTTCGGTTATTTTAAAGATGGTTGCAGCAGTACGCAAGTTGGAATAGCCCCTGCACGTATCTCCCGTGTCGTGATAAACGCAAGCGCCATCTACAGAGTCCTTATGTCTGGCGTGCACTGTTGGTCTGCTCGCGGTTCGTTGCGTTAGTCAGTTTGTTTCGTGTATAGCCACGAAAATTGTTGGCACTTGTATTTGCGCCGGGAGATGGTTAATCATTAAGTCTCATCAGTTGCCACAATAAACTCTTAGTATTTAATGTTGAGAGGAGCAAGTGATCAATTCAATCTAGTGTATAAAAACAAAACATTAAATTTTACTACGATCTCTTCCACATACGAGTGACAATCGCGAGAAATGTAACCGTGTCGTGACGTCACACGGCTAATCAAGTGCACACACGTACACCAACACCGTAACCATCGAGAGACAGTGCGCGCGCGCATACGCATGTATTTTATTCGACAACACGAAGAAAAAGCGAGAAATCGGCTATGAAATAGGCTGTTATGCACGTGTAATCGGAAGTTGATTTGTTCACGGGCACTGGACGACATTGAAGCTTCTTCGGACTCCAGTGATCAACAAAGTGACGAACAAGGGAACAAAAAAGAAGGAAGAAAGAGTGCTAAGTAAGGTTGTGTTGGTTTCGGAGCTGAAAATAACGGAGAAAAAGAAAATAAATCATCATGGGTCCAGTAAAATTTGAAGAATATTTTTTCCTTTTGTGTTGATGTGGAAAGAAGCTATTGAAACAGTTCTTGAGTAAAATATACACGTGCATTGGATATATTAACTACGTCGTCGTCATTTGCTACCGTTGCTGCTGCTGCTGATGCTGATACGAGAGTGAACATCTCGTGGCGCCCCGCGGTGTTTTTCGACGAGAAACTGTCCATAACCTACGCGAACCGGCAAAAAGGAGAGACGTCTGTTTCGCTCGTTGCGAAATGCCATTACAAAAATTTCGTCCATGCAGTTGTGATTGATCCAAAGTGAAAACAATTTTCCTACCTTGAAATAAAAGGTATGCATTTTTATTGTTTATCTATTGTGCTTTTGTGTTATTGAGAATAATAAAATAAAATGGTGGAGGCGAGATTTACGCAATAAAAGAGTTTTATACGCACGTTCAGTATTCATCGACCCACAGAGTGATCCGTTAAAGTAGCTTTTCGACCGACAATCCCTTTGTGTCGGCGGTTTTGTGTGTTATTACCCTTGATTTTAATCTAGCCTATGAAAAAACATGCATCAAAAACTATACAAAATTATCACCTTTCAACTTTTTTCATTCTTTACATATTTTATTTAAATAATAGACAACTATTGCTCAATAATTCATTTTTTTATCATTGCGTAATTATTGTTATTAAAATCAATTAATCACTTTTCCATGCAAACCATTTTATTGTTATTATACACCTAATAACTGTACATCTTTTTTATTAAGAAAATTATTCAATTCTTTTAATTATTAACATTAGAGCTTGTAATGTTTTTCATGAAAAATTTTTTCTTTCATTACTTTAATTATTCACTTCCAAGTAGTTCGAGTAAATCGATCAACACTTAGAATGTTTTAAAAAAATAAAAGAAGAAAAATCCAAGTACACTTATTAAAATGCTATATTTCGCAATTAACATTTTGTAATTATATTTTAAATATGTTTTTCCGTTCAATAAGTAGTAAAAAAGTGATTATCATTAAATTAAATGCAAAAATAACTCCAAAAATTGCACAATGATTATTTTCGGAGCAAAATAAAATATTTTTATTATTATTATCATCATTGATTTGATTATCGAATCACATATGAACTCGATAAATATAACTGTTAATATATCTTAAGTTAAATCTAATGAATGGTTGCAGAGCAAAATACGCATTTTTTAACATACGATGATTATTTTTGTGATTTACGCAAGAGAGTTACAATTTAAACATATAACCAATGTAGTAATTCGTAACAGTAAGCGATAAAGCATATATGCTTGTCACATTGTTACTATGTAACATGTTTCATTGAAATAAGGGACACGTGGACAATGTTTCGGGTTCCTGATGGTTAAATTTTCTTTTATCTAGGTCAAGAATAAAACTCCTGTGGAATGCAAACTACTACAAAGCTAAAACCCTGCACAATAAATTGACCTATTGGTTCTTTTTTGCAGATTCGGATTATCACAGATTAGATAAATTGTATGAAATGCGCTTGTATCACTTATTTAGTCATGAGTTACTTTCTATTGATTAGATATTGAATTATATTCAGCTACAAGCTTTGCATATTTTTCGGAGTAAATGAAAATCTTGAAAGTCAAGTAATTAACGTTAATGTTCTTCGTTCATTTTCTTCACTTAGAAAACTAATCTTAGACATTAGTTCATTCATTAACTTAACTCAAAGACTTGAAACATTAAATAATAAGTTATATCCGATTGGAAGTATTAAATAATTATTCTATTAAAGAGAAATGTATTGGGGTAATAGAGATTACAATCTCTATTGTGATAATTTCATTTATTTTTATTTGAACAAAAAAAGTTATTAATATTTAAAGATTTATAAATATTGTTAATTAAACAATAATCGTATGGTATAACCACAGAATAAAAACATGACAAGAAAAATGTTTTTAAAACGTGTAATTTCATTCAACATGTAAAGTGGTTAGGAAAATATTTTTCGTAATAATTTAAATTTATTTCTATGAAAGAAAATGATGATTTCTCTTTTTCGGTTTTCATATAATTATCAATTATTAAGAAAGATAAAGTAATTAAGAATATTTATTATCTTAAGGATTATGTTGATTGGATTAACAGAATGTACTTGATTCCAGGTAAAAACAACTTGTAGCATTGGGACGGACCAACAGGCATAGAAATAAAAGAGAAAGAGATTATCCAAATGGCTCTGCAGGATATCATTTCCAATGGACGAAAATGTAAACCAAGTTGTTATTGGCATCCAAACGTAGACCTTAGAAAGTAATAATTAGGCGATTATTCGGGGGACAAAAGAAGAAAATAGAAGGAGAAATTTTGTGGTTACAAGTCGTCGAAAGTGACAGGTCCCTTCATCATTGTACCTGTCCATCGACGTCAATGTCACCGCCACCGCTGCCTTTGTCCCTGTTCATTCGAAGATAAATCGCTTTAGTGAAGTGTTGTAGTTGTAAAAGTAGTTTAGTTCAACATCTGTTATCGTATGCAAATTTAAATTGAAGAGGTAGTGGTGGTGGTTATAAAATATATAACTAAACATCACCAGGAAAAGATATTTGTTAAATAAAATAATTTACGTCCACTCTTCATAATATTTATTGGCCATATGAGTCTTCCACGAGGTGGAGTAGCAACTTCCAATTATTGAAGTGGTAGTTAATGATCTCTTTACTTCCTCAGTTCCTGTGATAGTGTACAATGAGCGTTTCTTAGAAAGATTATTTCAAGAATAATTCAATTGGATTGTCATTTTTATCATAAATAGAAAGTGAAAAATTGGTGTCATAGTGAAGTTAACAAAAAAATAAAGGTGACTTGTGGTGAAGCAAAAAAGTGAAATTAAAAGTGGAATTTCAGTGTAATTAATAATTAATTAATTAATATATTAATATAAAACATTATTTTGCCATTTTAAAAACGGAGAATTTGCAAGGATTTCATTCTCAGTCTACTCCAAATGACAGGAGGAGACGTATATCAAGCATTGCTGTTAAAGATGAGTGAGTGTTTATCAATTTTTTTTTAATCATTTGATTTATTACATAACTAACTCTATTAAGTTTAGACTTTGAAATTTCTCCGTTCTCCAAAAAAAAAAAAATAATCCAAAAATATTTTTCAATAAGCATAGTCATATAAAATGTATTTTACACTAATTGAATCACTCTTTTAATACTTTATAAGATTTATTATATATTTATTGTAAAACCAGTATAATTTTGAAATGCTTTATAACATTTTCAACTAAACATTTAAATAATTGGTAATTAGTAGGATTTAAGTGAAAGAAAAATTGTCTAGAATCATTGAAGCATTGAAGGCTTTGTTTGCTGAGTTGACTGAATTAAGGTATAATTAAAAAAGAGAGAATAATTATGTAAAGAATTCTCAGCATAATGAATTGTTAAGTCTAAGCATATGGTATAATGATTACACCAACCAGCTGATTTCCACTGTGTAAATCTTAGTGCTCTAGAGATCACAAGTGCTGGAGGTAAAGCAAACCTTGGCCCGGATCTGGATTTTACCGTTTATATTTTATAGTATCATTGCTAATCCTACCACTTTTTTCCTTCTGACTTTTTTTATCAAATTTCGATTTTTTTTTTAAAAATATTGCTCTAATGTTTACTTAAAGAATACCTGAAAAAAATTCATCATATATAAATATTTCAAATGAATATTTGATTTTCTTAAAACTTATCAAAACATTGAAAATATTTATCTGCCCCTGAGATGTCGTTCTTCGTCATACATTTTACATTAGTCGACAAATATATATATTTTAAAGTTAAAGACATGACATTTGTGCAAAAATTGTTTTAAAAAACATTAAAGTTTGCTTTGATAGTCGTCATATGTTTCGTTAAAATTCATTGATTATTCTTAGCAATGATGATTTGTTTGTTTTTTTTTTTGTTCTCTCCTTTTTGACCGTTTTAATATTTTATCATTACCATAATTTTTTTATTGTATAAAATATTACATACAAAAGTAGCCATACCAAAACTTTATTATCTTTTAGAGTAAATAGAATTAATCACTGATAAACAAACATTAATTTTATATTATCAAGTAGTGGAACATTCTTGAATAATTGTTTGGTCACCGGAGAATAGTTTTCTTAGCTGATAAAATATAAAAATAACTGAAAGAATCGAATGATACTTTTAATTAAAATTAAATGTTTGGATTAATAAAGTAAATGTTTTATCATTTTGGCTGAGAACTGATGAAGTTGAGAAATGTGACAATGAGCGCGAAAGAAAGTTGAATTAGTAATGGCCAATGACTGACGGATGACCAAATAGTGGGGGCATGAAGATTCGTCAGTAAAGTGCGATGTTGCCGTTTTATGCGTCGAGTGATGAGTTATGTTGCGACCAAACGAGTAGAGTGTAAAAGAGAGAACCCATACTAAGACTCTTCGTCGATCTGGCGGCAGAAAAATAGCGTTGCCTTGGCTTTCTTTCGGTTCGCTTTACCGCGAGTATCTTGACCGCGTTCCATCCAATTCATTCCTCAACGAAAAACAGATAATGTCCGCCATTCAGCTATTTTCCTGTTAAGCATACTCAATAATCCATTCTAATTAATCCGTCTCATTAAAATTTTACATCAAACGAACAAAAACCAAAATAATTACCATTCCGTTTAATTTCAATCTGGAATTACTATTAATGCTGCTCCAAATTTTTTAACTACTTTCTGCTATATTAATTAAACATTCAATATTAAAGGTTCGATATTGAGAGTTATATTTTAATTATTATTACAATCATTTGAAAGATTATTATCACTAAGGAATGTCAATGTGGTTTTTCTATTCAATTTAACTAAATTAACCTTTTTTTCATGTAATGATATTTTTTTCTCAGTATACATAACATTTTTTTACCTCTGAAACATCAAAAATACAAAGTATTATTCATTCTTCAAGCATAAACTTTGTGATAAAAAAATAATAAATTATTATCTAAAATTCAACCTAAAATTATTGTGCTACTTTAGCTCTTAAGATTATTCATGATAAACATTATTGTTGCGATAAAAAAAAATAGAGAGAAAATAATTTTCTTTTATTGTTGAATTGTATTTCTTGAGATGAGATATTATACGTTGATGTCATTGAAAAGTGAAACCGGAAGGTTTTAATATATTTGTAGATAACAATTTCGCTGACTCTTATACTTTATAGCAAACGATTTCACTGTAATCACAATCCAATTCCAAGTTAGTCAACTCAGTAAATTGTTCCGAAGAACCGCGACAACTGTGGCAAAGAAACTATCAGCTACTAAAGAGAAGTTTCAAGTATGTAAAGATTGAAGTGAGAAAGTTTTACTCAGTCTCTCACTCGTACACTCAAACTAGTTATATTAGTACCTACTTAGTAGTAGAGAAGGTAATAGCAAAAGCTGCGTAACGCTATTACACGTGCTCATTATACGCACCTGCGTAACTCAATGGCATACGACGTAATACGACAATCACGTTGACGGTTAGTTACATATCAAAAATTTGCTAGTCTTTTAACTGTATACGTAATTATTATGTAATATCATCAGTAATGGATTTTGACATTGGATTCAAATTGTTTCATATTGCTTTTATTGTTTGAAAAAACATTAACTAATTATCATAAATACGTGATTTTAATTAATAATTATTGTCATATTATTAATTGAATGATTATTAACTTTTACTCGTTATTTTATTTAACTATTTTACGCTTCATAAAATAGAAAATAAATAGTATGCAGTCTTTTTAACTGGTGAATGGGAAATATATTAATCTCTATCTTTACGTGTTGGAATTTCTCATTTAAAGTCTTTCCATTGTCCAGCAACGTAAATTACAAATTGTTGAAATATATTAAAAGAATATTGCAAGAAAAATTCAAATATATATATGTATTGTACAATTTTATTTATTAATATTGATTTTAAGATTAATATTCTTTATTATTCACAACAATCAAATTTGTTCTATTATGTTTGAAGAAATTCATCGTTACATAAATATGAAATTATTTATGCAGAATAAAATTTAAAGTATTTTTAATCATATTATTCAACGCTTCAAAATGAATTAACACATTTTTTCATGCGTGAAAATCTGAAAGCTGATTTTTTTCGGTAATTTTCAAGTCATTTCCGGAAATTATTGATTAATAGATAATGATTTTTTATTTTTATTCCATCGAAAGGAAAGAACAAAAATAAATCTGAAAAGATATAATTATTTTTGACTATTTCATTATCTACACCCTTATTTATTCCAAATATTTCTACATATATTTAATTTATCAACAAATATTCATTATTCATAAGTAGCATAGAATAAAATATTTAGAGAATAAGCTTGTTTCAATATATTTAGAAATTATTTAAATAATAATAAAAAAAAAAAAGAAGAAACCTGTTGTGAATTTGATTGAAAAATTCTATTTATTATCAAACTTAACAACACTTAATCATCATGATCATTTTTCTCTCTATTCATCAATAGCTTTTTTAGTGTTATTCAACACTGATGATCTAATAAAAGATCGATTAATGTATTTTAGTGTGAAGCCTTCACTGGAAACCATACAGTTTGTAATGTAACAAAAACGACTGGTATACGGGTAATAGAATTGAAAGATAAAAAGAATACAAAGTAAAGTAATGACAGTAGTGTATGCAGGAAAAGACTTGAATTGTCCCGCGAAAAACAGTTTGAAATAAAAGGAAAGAATGAGATATTGAGGCAGATGCTACGCGTGGCCAATTGTGGATTGTGATGAGAGTAGATAGGAAAGTATTTGAGAAAGAGAGTAATAGAGAATAAGACTAGGCGGCAGATGAGAAGGCAGCCAGGCAGGCGTGGTACCTTTACCGACCTTGACCTCCGTCCTCGGCTGACGCTTGTTCTTTGCAGACTGGTCGATATGCGACTTATGCTACTCCTCACATCCCGAACCCCTCGATAAGCCACCCTCTATAGCGTCGATCTGTGTGCGCCGCCGTCGCGACCCCCTTACCCTTTCTCTCGAATCTCTAGCTGACGCGTGTGTTGTATCGATTTCGCCAACTTGCTCTCGTCATCCATCTTTCGCCCACCTCTCCGCACTCTTTCGAATTTTCATCCTACGATAGAATTTTTTCTCACCAACTTTTTTTTTTTATATATACTTTTGTTCTGAGTCATTGTCTAATGAATTCTACTTCCATTATAAATCTGAATTAATGTTAGAATTGATCATACCATATTGAATTCTCATCCTACTAAAGTCTCTTCAAAGCCTTTCTTTTTTTATTTTCTTTAATCAATTTTTAATTAATTTTGTCTTTGAAAAACACACACACACAAGTTCAATTAATGTTACGATTTTTCTTTGTTTAATTGTACAAAAATCCATTCTCAATTAAAGTCTTTGGGTAACTAGAAGTCTATTGTGACTAAGCTCTTGTTGAAATTTTAGTATATGGGCTAGAAGAAAAAAAAAAATATAATCCCGCATAATCGATAAACTGTCATAATCACTAATGTTCGATATTAAATTTTCAATTGAGCCATTAAGTGGTCTTAAGTGTTACAATAAAATATTGTCACAGCTGTATTGGAAAATTTGGGATCTATTAAACTATAGACACTTAAGTAATAATAGCAATTAAAATGGTGAATGTGTAGCAGCAATATAGAGGGTTGGTATATATTCTCAACTAAAGTTATTTATTTTTATTGGCAAAGGTAGTTGTGGAATTAGTCTCCACGTGTATGTTTGAGCCCACGTAAAAATGCGTGTCAATTCTATACAACTCATATATTCTATTCCATACTTATTCTTAGAGTATAAGAATAGTTTTTTTCATAAATTATTTAACTTCTTCTTTACCGATAATCCGAAATGATTGAATTTATCATCAATTTAATACCCCATTAAATTATTATTCTGCCAATTGTTTTAAAAATTTTAAATAGATAATAAAATAAAATAAATAATATCTAATTTAA